TACTGCCCTGCGCCCCAGTGTCTCCGAGGGGGGGGATCATGCTCCGCTTCAGTCTGTCACAGTACATGTTGGCATTCATGGTTCCTTCAATGAACTGTAGCTCTCCAGTGCCAGCAGCACTCATGCAGCCCCAGACCATGACACTCCCACCACCATGCTTGACTGTAGGCAAGACACACTTGTCTTTGTACTCCTCACTTGGTTGCTGCTACACACGCTTGACACCATCTGAACCAAATAAGTTTATCTTGGTGTCATCAGACCACAGGCCATGGTTCCAGTAATCCATGTCCTTAGTCTGCAGCAAACTGTTTGCAGGCTTTCTTGGGCATCATCTTTTGAAGAGGCTTTCTTCTGGGACGACAGCCATGCAGACCAATTTGATGCAGGGTGCGGCATATGGTCTGAGAACTGACATGCTGACCCCCCCACCCCTTCAACCTCTGCAGCAATGCTGGCAGTACTTATACGTCTATTTCCCAAAGACAACCTCTGGATATGACGCTGAGCATGTGCACTCAACTTCTTTGCTCGACCATGGCGAGGCCTGTTCTGAGTGAAACCTGTCCTGTTAAACCGTTTCAGTTTCAGGATCTTGGCAATCTTCTTATAGCCTAGGCCATCTTTATGTAGAGCAACAATTCTTTCTTTCAGATCCTCAGAGAGTTCTTTGCCATGAGGTACCATGTTGAACTTCCAGTGACTAGTATGAGAGAGTGAGAGCGATAACACCAAATTTAACGCATCTGCTCCCCATTCACACCTGAGACTTTGTAACACTGAGTCACATGACACTGGGGAGGGGAAAATGGCTAACTGGGCCCAATTTGGACATTTTCACTTAGGGGTGTACTCGCTTTTGTTGCCAGCGGTTTAGACATTAATGGCTGTGTATTGAGTTATTTTGATGGACAGCATATTTACACTGTGGTAAAAGCTGTATACTCGCTACTTTTCTTTGTAGCAAAGTGTCATTTCTTCAGTGTTGTCACATGAAAAGATATAAAAATAAAATATGTACAAAAATGTGAGGAGTGGACTGTGAGATATGGTGTATGTATGTGTACACATATATATACACACACACTTACACACTTGCAAGAAAAAGTATGTGAACCCCTTGGGATTATGTGGAGTTTTGCATGAATTGGGCATAAAATGTGCTCTGAACCTCATCGAAGTCACAACAATAGAAGAACACCGTCTGCTGAACATAATACTAAACAAACATTAGATGTTGCCATGGTTTAATTGCACATAACATGTAAACATTCAGAGTGCAGGGAGGAAAAAGTATGTGAGGCCCTAGCTTAATGACTTCTCCCCACTGTAAAACATGGCGGAGGGAGCATCATGGTTTGGGGCTGCTTTGCTGCCTCAGGGCCTGGACGGATTGTTGTCATTGATGGGAAAATGAATTCCAGAGTTTATCAAGACATTTTGCAGGAAAACGTACGACCATCTGTCCGCCAACTGAAGCTCCGCAGAGGATGGGAGGATGGGTGATGCAACAGGACAATGACCCAAAGTCAAGTAATTCAACAAAACAATGGCTGCAACAGCACAGAATATGCCTTCTGGAGTGGCCCAGTCAGAGTCCTGACCTCAACCCGATTGAAATGCTGTGGCATGACCTTAAGAGAGCGATTCACACCAGACATCCCAAGAATATTGCTACACTGAAACAGTTTTGTGAAGAGGAGTGGTCCAAAATGACTCCAGATCGTTGTGCAGGTCTGATCTGCAACTACAGGAAACGTTTGGTTGAGGTTATTGCTGCCAAAGGAGGGTCAACCAGTTAAGTCCAAAGGTTCACATACTTTTTCCTCCCTGCGCTGTGAATGTTTACATGTTATGTGCAATTAAACCATGGCAACATCTAATGTTTGTGTAGTATTATGTTAAGCAGACTGTGTTCTTCTATTGTTGTGACTTAGATGACGTTCAGAGCACATTTTATGCCCAATTCATGCAAAACTCCACGTAATCCCAAGGGGTTCACATACTTTTTCTTGCAACTGTGTGTGTGTGTGTGTGTGTGTGTGTGTATGTGTATATATATATATATATAATATATATATATATATATATATATATATATGTGTGTGTAATATGTATGTATATGTGTATATGTGTGTGTATATATATATATATATATATATATATATATGTGTGTGTGTGTGTGTGTGTGTGTGTGTATGTGTGTGTATATATATATATATATATATATATATATAAGGACTTTGGACCACTGAGCAACAGACCAGGTCTGTTTTTCTTTAGCCAGGGTAAGACATTTGTTTTTTAGGAGCGGCTTGACAAGAGGAATACGACATTTGAAGTCCATGTCCAGGATCCGTCTGTGTGTGGTGGCTCTTGATGCACTGACTCCAGCCTCAGTCCACTCCTTGTGAAAGTCCCCAACACTTTTGAATGGCCTTTTCCTGACAATCCTATCCAAGCTACGGTCATCCCTGCTGCTTGTGCACCTTTTTCTTCCACACTTTTCACTTCTAGATAACTTTCTATTACTGTGCTTTGATACAGCACTTTGGGAACATCCAACTTCTTCTTTTGCAATTACCTTTTGAGACAACCCCCCCCCCCCCCCATGGAGGCTGTCAATGATTGTTTTCTGCACAAGTGTCAGGTCAGCAGTCTTTCCCATGATTGTGATTCCTACTGAACCAGACTGAGAGACCATTTAAAGGCTCAGGAACCCTTTGCAGGTGTTATGGCTTAATTAGCTCATTAGAGTGGGACACTTTGAGCGAAGAATATTGCACCTTTTCAATCTTCTAATTTTCTGAGATTATGAATTTGGGGTTTTCATGAGCTGTAAGCCATAATCATCACAATTATGACAAATCAAAGCTTGAACTATCTCATATATTAGTTTCACCTTTAAGTTGCATTACTGAAATAAATTAACTTTTGCACGATATTCTAATTTTTCGAGTTTCACCTGTATATATGTATGTATGTATGTATAAATAATGTGTGTACATACATACAGTAGATACATCATATTGCCGAAAGTATTGGGACACCTGCCTTTAAACGCACATAAACTTTAACGGCATCCCAGTCTTAGTCCGTAGCGTTCAATATTGAGTTGGCCCCGCCCTTTGCAGCTATAACATCTTCAACTCTTCTGGGAAGGCTGTCCACAAGGTTTAGGAGTGTGTCTATGGGAATGTTTGACCATCCTTCCAGAAGTGCATTTGTGATGTCTGCCGAGAAGGCCTTGCTCGCAGTCTCTGCCCTTATTCTTCTCAAAGGTGTTCTATTGGGTTGAGGTCAGGACTCTGTGCAGGCCAGTCAAGCTCCTTCACCCCAAATTTGCTCATCCATGTCTTTATGGACCTTGCTTTGTGCACTGGTGAGCAGTCATGTTGGAACAGGAAGGGGCCATCCCCAAACTATTCCCCCAAAGGTCAAAGCATGAAATTGTTCAAAATGTCTTGGTATGCTGACGCCTTAAAAGTTCCCTTCACTGGATCGAAGGGTCCAAGCCCAACCCCTGAAAACAACCCCACACCATAATCCCCCCCGTCTAGCAAATTTTACACTTGGCACAATGCAGTCAGGCAAGTACTGTTTACCGCCAAACCCAGACATGTCCATCAGATTGCCAGACAGAGAAGCACAATTTTTCACTCCAGAGAACATGTCTCCACTACTCTAGAGTCCAGTGGCGGCCTGCTTTACACCTCTGCATCTGATGCTTTACATTGTACTTGGTGATGTAAGGCTTGGATGCAGCTGTTGGGCCATGGAAACCAGTTCCATGAAGCTCTCTATGAACTGTTGTTGTGCTAATCTGAAGGCAACACAAAGTCTTTAGATATACACGTGTGGCCATGGAGGTGATTGGAACACCTTAATCCAAGGATTTGGAGAGCTAGCCCAATACGTTTGGCAATATAGTGTGTGTGTGTGTGTGTGTGTGTGTGTGTGTGTGTGTGTGTGTGTGTGTGTGTGTGACACTATATTGCCAAAAGTATTGGGAATTTGTTTTTCCCCCATTGGGACGAATTGGATCATGCTTTATTGGAGTTTTTTTGCCTTCTTCTGGATCAGCTGTGGGTATAGGATTGTGTAATTGGGGTTTTCTTTTTTTTCTTGTTGGTTGAACTAGATGGACTAGTGTCATATTTTCAACCTCTCTAAATATGTAGCCACTTTAGAACTGTGTTATTTTCAGGATTACCAAGTAAAAATAAGAGGGGAAAAAAGCTTGAAAAAAGACATCCACTAGGCATTGTTTCCATGTAACCTGACCACATATCATTACCTTGGGGAAAAATGTCAGATAATACAATGCTCTACACAGCAATATATACTGTGTATATATACATTTAGAAGAATTTTAACCAAGAAAATAGCAGTTGTGTGGGTGACCCCCTCCAACCTCTGATGAGGGTCGGCACAGACCCAGCAAAACTTCACAAATATCCAGTGATCTTAAAGCAAAGCAGGCACTGACAACCTATTCTCCATAACTGGTTAAGCAGGTCACCCAATTTCTGCATTAGCAGCTCTTGAACTTGAATAAAGGAGATAAAATTGGTAATGACTTATATTTAAAGATCTAAATAGCTCAGTAATCAGAAACTGTAGAAAGGTTTTTGTCTGGATCAGAATTATCAGTTAAAACATTCTATGACACTTTTAGTGGACAGCCTGCTGTGAGTAACATTTGTACTGAAGTGAAATTATTGTTTCCTCATAATATACACAGCTTGCAGACTTCCCAGACACTTTCTGTAAATTGCAACTTGCATGTTGCCAATTCAGAACCTGGCTCTCACTACCCAGCTGATAAGAGTAATGGCGATGTAACTGGAGCCTGTGGCCAGGCCATGTCCTCACCTTAATTGCATTGTTCTGTCCCTGTGCTCTTGGCTGGCTTTTAATCTGATTCTGTGTACAACAGGACAGCCATGTCTGCCACTTCCCACCAATCTAATTTGATATCTTTCCTCTTTCACCCGCAGGACAAACGCTCATCAAGGTTGGAGAGACTCAGAAGCGTTTAGGAATTGCTGAGAGAGACTTCATTCACTCTTCTTCAATCAACTTCTTGACTCCTTTGCGCAATTTCCTGGAAGGTGACTGGAGAACTATTTCTGTAAGTTTTATTTTTGGTGGTAAGTGACACCGGAAACGGCAGTGAGAATTTTGGGCTTCATGACTGAAATTGGCAGCAACCAATCAACTCATCCCTTGCATTTTTAAAGCGGTATTGAACGCCACCAAAAAAAAAATTGTAAATTGTCCCCTTGCAGGGTAATACCATAATGTGATAGTTTGCATCGCATATTAGCACATTATAGCAGACTTTATTCTCAAACGAAGCCTGATGGCGCTGAGCTGTCACCGTTCCCGGCCCTTCCATCTTCGTCTGGTTTTCCTTCCAGGTTAACGGTCTCTGGCTAGGCTGGGATGACATCACTCCTGCACGCGTACATAGTCAATTCACCACAGCACATAGCAGGTGCCATAAATGTGGTCTAAGAAGCTCAGATTACAGTACTGCTGACAGGCTGGAGAGGCATTTATGATAGAAGAAACCACTAGGGTTTATTCTATTATAAAAACCCTGCCTGCCTGTGCTTCCTTTTTTTTTTTTTTTTTTTTTTTTTTTTAATAAAAGTTTAATACTGCTTTAAAGGAAAAGTAATGAGATTGTGTAATTGGTTGTTTTGGCTTGCAAAGGTTTTTTTGTGAAGTCTCTTGAGGTTGAAGTATTACTGGCCTTACATGTTACATCCCTGTTCAGTTTGGCAAACAGTTACTCTCTACTAAAAGTGGGCTACCATTATAGAAGACCCAACACACTTCTCAAGAATCTGTAGTCTCAGGCATGTTTTAAAAGGTTTTAGTGTGTTTTAAGCTGGGTACACACCATAATTTTAGGGTTGGGGGTCCCTAGTGCCTATAAGGAACATGTACCTACCCATGCAAGGCTTGTTGTCACTATAATTGGATTTTTTTTTTTTTTTTTTTTTTTTACTGTCATTGGTCCAGCAGGTTGAACAAATAAAAAAAAATGGCAGAAGCCCACTTCCACACAAGCAATGCTGATACAGGAATCTCTCCTGCGAAAACACTGTTTTCTGACAGCGGGGACTGCCCCCATTGTCAGAATACACAGATCAGTGCTGCTGTAGTGCTTTACAGTGTAGTACCAAGCTTTACAGGGTAGCAATCACTCCCTGTACCAATTATAATGACAGCCTTGCATAGGTAGGTAAACATGTTCCTACCTGAACAAAGTACAAAATAGGCACTAGGGACCCCTAAAGCTACAAATTATAGCGAGGAAAATACTTCCGATATATACATTTTTGGCCTTTTCCATTTTTATTTATTTCGGAATTTTTTAATTTTGAGTTCAAGGACAGTATTTGCACTCACTCTCCATGTCCACAACCAATTAATGTGAGGCACTAGTTGGCAGCAAATATCCTGTTATATTGGCTAAATTGCAAATTGATGAGGATATCCAAAAATGATTTGCTTTATGTGCTCATCTCTAACACAGGTTGTTAATAAATGGCAATAAACTTAAGCATTGTTTTCTTTGGCTTCTCCATAAGCTACTTTGGTTGTCTCCTGGATATCCAGTAAAAGTGATCTGGGTTGCTGTAGAACCTTCTGATCACTTTTATATTACTGTGAAGGTAGAGAAAATACCAGCTGGAACCTTGGCTGCACAGACCATTCACTTTCACCAGTCTTTCAGCAATCTCTTATGGATTAGTTTATTTAAAAAATGTATAGAAAATATGGAGCTGTCTCTTTTAATTCCTACAATCTTTCTATGGGCAAACAACAACTCTTTGTTTTCATAAAACCCCAATGTAACAATCTTTTCAGTCTTTTCCCTTGTGGTCTTATTGAGTGTAGTGTGTTATTTACCACAGTCCCAAGTGCAGTCATTCTTGGATGACAGATCACAAGAGCACAATGACTGCATTCAGAGTGGAAAGGAAAAACAAACCTGAGGTACATGTGAATGGAAAATCCATCAATAAGTCTAATTATCAGACTGGACATCCTTTTTCGCATGATGCACTCCCGTTGCTTTTGTTTAAACATCCACGAAGTATATCCTGCAATTGCACTTGCTATAATAAGTGATTTTTTTTTTTTTTTTTTTTTTTATGCAGAGGTGCATAGTGGAAGTGGATCGGGTGTCCCCAGGCCTCATCCAACCCCACCCTCCCTATGAGGCATACAAGAGTAAAAATAAAACAAAAATAGTTCTATAGTATGTAAACACTAACAATATCCTCCACTCATTTACTCATTTTTAGTCTGTTAATTATACAATTGAAATAGTTTTGTTAGATCTGTTCAATATGTGCAATAAAAAAAAAGTTGATCCTGCCAGAAATCTTATGAGTTGATAATTTCCTGTTCTCCCTGCTAGTGCTGCATTTTTATCAGCAAACATTGAACCCAGCTATGTCTGAACTACAGAACATCTTCTCCTATGATATAGAGCAGAAGAGGGGAGCATTGTATTGCCCTGTTCTAAGGTGACAATGCTTCTACTCCATAGATACTGTATACTGGGTGAGCATTGTCACCCTATGACAGGAAGTGCGTCACTGGCAGGATCAACAGGTGAAAATAAGGAAAGAAAATAAAAAAAAAAAAAAAAATTCAGGAACAAAAACTAAGGACTGGGTAAGTTGCATATAACATTTGTTTGGGGGTTTGGATACACTTTTTAATTGATTTAATAAAAAATAAAAAATAGCAGTTGTGTGGGTGACCCCCTCCAACCTCTGATGAGGGTCGGCACAGACCCAGCAAAACTTCACAAATATCCAGTGATCTTAAAGCAAAGCAGGCACTGACAACCTATTCCCTGTGAACACATTGGACACATTGGATACGCCATGCACTTGCTTCTCAACAAAAATGAGGTGTTGGGACAGGAAAGGTCGATGATGTTGATGATTTTATAGCTGTATGTGTCTTTCCTGGGTACATGCCACCTTTTTATTCGTCCTGGTCACCATTCTCTTTGGGACAAAATGTAGAAAGGAAAAAAAATTTAAAGCAGATCACAGCAGGGGAACAACACAACAACACATCCTACTGAAGGTAATATCCCTTGTGGTGATTTTTTTTATTTGTTTATTTTTAGCTACACTTAGGCTTTAATGGGAAATTCAACATTTACAGCATTTTAAATCTGCTCAGTGAGTAGCCCTGTTTGGTCGCCTCTCACCTGACATCCCTCAGTTTAAAAAAAAAAAAAAAAAAAAAAAAAAAAAGTGAAGAAGCCGGCCAAACATTGCTTTCCTTCAATCAGATGCAGTCACTGTTCAGGTACTTTGACAGCTGGTGGAGCTGGCTGCCAAAATACAAAAGGTGCAGCAGTTTTTATCTGTCTGTATTGAGTAATATGGAGGGAGAAATCAGTTTTTTTTTTTTTTTATTGTGTCCATGTTAGAAGTCTCAATGTCAGGGTATATGTGTGTATTTGTGGACTGCATTCTAGTATCTAGAACAGCCTTTTCCAACCGGTGCCTTGAAGTTTCTCCAGGAGTGTCTTGTAAACAATTTGTGGCAATTTTTAGTCATTTTACCAAGTCAGCAGGTGGATCAAGCCTGCCTTTTCGTTACACAAAGCCACAGGTTTTCATTGTGCACCATTACAAATTTCTAGGCACCTGCATCCTAGCAACCATTGACACCATCAGTTGATATGGAGGATGTCTTGTTTGACCCTCCCCTGTCCCTCTCTGTAAGTATTTGGGGTCAAATTATCTGAGTGATAGAGAAAAAGTGAGGGAGAAGAGAAACATTGAAATACTATTCAGTATCAGTGTGCAAAAGTGTATTTGCTTTGGACAAATAAATCCTCTCTAACATCGGGTGTCCTACATGTGCTGGTGTTGCTGCATTAGGTAAAACTATTAGAATCGTTTTTTACATTTTAGAATGGGGTGCCTTGAGACTGTCCATCATTTTAAAGGATGCCTCAAGATTGTTCATAACTTTAAAGGGTGCCGTGACTGAAAAAGGTTGCAAAACACTGATCTAGCATCACTAGGTTTAACAAGTTAGGCCAGTGAATGAAATATCATATTTCTCTTTTATAGGTAAACATTTTGGAATTATTTCTGTGTTTTGCAGAAGGAGAGAAAGAATCTTGCAGAACCGCCGTTTAGATCTTGATGCTTGTAAAGCTCGACTTAAGAAGGCAAAAGCAGCAGAGGCCAAAGCCGCGGTACAGTCCCGATCTAATTTATTTTTCTTCATGGATATGCATGCCATTCCTGGGCTTAAAGGGGACATCACTTCCAATTCCACATGCCTCTCATTTTTAACATGAATCCCTCATACCTCATTCCACTTACATCCAAGGTTATGGGATGGTTGGCACAGTAAAGGGTGGGCTTCATCCCTTCAGGTTGATTGTTACTCAGAACACCCAATCAGAAATGAGCTTTTTTGATAGCATGGGCACAGGAGAAAGCAGATTTCTGATTGACTATGATATATTTGCACCTCTGCCTACATTGTAAAACATTGCCTGGGAATGTATCGTATCAGTGGGGTAGGCTCAGTTGGCATATCCATCTTAAAAATATTATGATTGGCTGCTATTTAACTCCTCCCTATGTTTGTTTGTTTGTCCCTCACTAACTTTGTGGTGTTTTTTTTTTTTTTTTTGTGTTCTGTGTTTTTTTGTTATTTTTCTCCCATAATTTGCTCAGCTCGAGGGGGATGTGAGTATTTGTTGTCAAGGCCTTTTGCTGTGATAGCTGATTCTTATTTTGCTTTCTTGTTCTCATCTGACAGTTTTTCTTTCCACTGCGGCTGTACTGGCTAGGGATCGGGGAGCATTGCAGGAAGGGAAGACACAGTTACACAGGCATAGGAAACCCATGTCCATTCACAGAGATTGTTTAATAGCAGTCTGATTTTGTGACCTTGACAGGAACGAGTATCACACTGAATCAGATTAACCTATGCAGTATATAAAAGTGGTGCAGTAATGCTGGGGGAGAGGGGGGGTGGGGGATAGTTAGAGTAACGGGACCGCAGTAGTCAGCTATTCTGGGGGAAATGTTGCTCCAAGTCCCGGCAAGTAACAAAAAAAACAAGGCAATCGGTCGCATGATCTCTGCTAAAGGAGATGCGCATGTAGTCTGGTTTGTGATCCTCCACTTCAGCAGAGATTATATGATTAAATGTTTAGGCGTTTTGGTCACATGACTGGCAAAAGAAGGAGCCAGGAGCAAAAATATTTTCCATATGTTAGATCTGTTTGGATAAAGCATCTTAAAAATAAATAAATAAATCAGTTGTGGGGACTGCTAATATGCTGATTTCCAGAGCCACATACCCAGAATAATTTGTTGTCTGTGCACAGCTTGTTGTAGGATTTCCTTATGTCTAAGGGTCACCATACACATTACAATCTAACCATACATTTTTTGTGCAATCATTTACCAAAATTATGTAATATCAGGGCCTTCCTAATTTATCCAGTAAGTTTGCATTTAGGCCCTTACACTACATAATTGTTGGTACATCTACAGGAAATTGTACAATTGGATTGTAACATGTGTGATGAGCACAAGGGATGCATGGAGACCAGGATGGAAAGCTCCTATTGGCTCAACAGAGCCAAGTTTTTGTTTTTGCTCCTGGTTCAAGTTTAGCCTGTCAGAGAGACCTGTTACCAAACATATATTTTGTTTTCATTACTTCTGCACATGTGAGGAGAGGCTTAGGTTTTTTTTTTTTTTTTGTTTTGTTTTTCTTCAAGGAAATTTATGAGAGAGAGAGAGAGAGAGAGAGAGATAGATAGATAGATAGATATAGATAGATATATAGATATAGATAGATAGATAGATAGATATAGATAGATATATATATTATAATTTTTTTTTTTTTTTTATTAGTCGGAGATTGTCTCATGGTCAGTAATAATGAGTGAACCAAGCAAAGTTCCGTTCACTGTACATGCACCATAACGCTCAATCCATGTGTAGCTGCTGGTTTCCTAGAAGCCAAAATTACATAATCGATTGCTATGGTGCAAGCAGACAACCCATGCAGCATCCTTGCTTTCTAGGATACATACAGCATGCAGCTTCCTAGCAGCCAATAAGCAGGACATCATTCATTTAGTTGGGGTAGGTATACCACCACTAAATTAATGACTTTCAGGTGCAGCAGCCGGAGGTTCGGCCGGTGGGTGGACTGACTATTTACTTCACCCATTTGGCAAACTGAAAACATGTAAAATTCAGGTCACACTCTACATGGCCGAAAACTAGAATTGTATATCTAGTGGTCAGTAAAAACACAGTGCCTTTTGCAGTAGTAACAAGACTGTTCACTTAATGTCAATCATTTGGAAGCATAATCCGAGAAACTGAGATTAGGGTGTCCCATTAAAACAATGTGAACCAATGCAAATAAATCCACAAAGAGCAGCTACCTCCTCTGAATTTGAAATCTGTTGAACATTGTTAAAGTGGTTGTAAACCATTACATATTCCCAGTGAAGTGACTGGCCTCAGGTGATGCACAGAGATGAAGCAAATCTTCTTACATAAGTTGTACCTGTTCATCCGCAGACTTCTCTTTTCCACATCTGTTCAAAGTGAAACATTTATAAAGCTTGCCTGAGCTGTCAGAAAGCAGGGGGTGGGGACCTGAGAGCTGATTGGAGGGAAGGGACACATCCGCTTCACACAACACACAGGAACAGATCTGAGGCTGTCAATCACATGGTGTCTGCTGGATCTCCCTCTCCTGTCACCTTTTTTTACTTAATATCAGGAAAACTTGTTAGAAGTGAGTCATGCAGATTTTAGTGGAACTACGCAGCAGACAGAAATTGCACTTAGTGCTCTGGATTGAGACAAGTACACATTATAGAGGGATATGCTTTGTTCATGTCTGAGGTTTACAATCACTTTAAATGTATGTATAGCCAAAACTTGTCAGTTTTTTTTTATTGTCTGTATTCTTGCTGTGGAAATTCTCCCTCTGTGTCTTGGTGACCATTGATCTTGATGGGAAACCAACATTTTTTTTTGTTGTCACCAGAACAGAAAGGGAGGGGTTATCTTTCAAAGGGGACACCTGTTCTGTTAACAGTTGTCTACAAGGGGAATTTCACTCCTTTTGTAGAGATTCCCTCTCCCATCCTGTTACATCCCCATGACAGGAAGTGAGGGTAAATCCCACAAACAGGACACAAGCTGAAAGAAATTGATACAAATTGTAACCATTTTAAAAATATCAAACACAATTTTGACTGTGCATATGCTTAACTTTTTACCATTGGCTCCTGATGGCCAGTTAAAGGTTTTCTGGGCTTCCCAAACATGTGAGTACTCTGGCTATCAAGGGGACCACGTGATTGTCCTACCAGCTCCTAATTGTAAACAGTGATTGGAAGCTGATAGTAACAGTATAGTCACAGTGCTTGGGGGCGCTGAGTGAGTGCATTTATAGCATGCTGTTTAGGGTGGATGAGAGAATCTATTGGTTTCTCTTGTTCAACCTGCAGGGCTGAACAATAGCAATCTTAACGTGTATGGCTAGCCTTAAGTTGGCCATAGACGAAGCAATTTTTTTTTTCCCCTGCAACCATGGGTCCCTCCTGTGGAGCCATTGTGTTCTCACGTTGGGGGGTGGCTCTATAATAGTCACTAGCAATAATCGCATGTCAAATCCAACAGGCTGGTTGTGCCCAAGTTGATCGATTGATCAACTTGGGTACATTCAGCCTGCCCATACATAGTTTGAATTTGAACCATCAATGGCTGGCTTAAGGCTGCATTCACATGGATGCACAGCAGCCAGGCATGGGTGCCCCTGGCAAGAATCTATAGATTTTCCTTGGTGGTACTAAATTCTGCTTGCAGCAGCTGTCAGCACTGGCTGTCATATCTGTACTCTGTACGAATCAATGGCCAGCACCACCGATGTCCGCATGTAACTGTTCATTTGAGTGGTTACATGCAAATAGAGCCTCTGACCAACCCTGGACACAGTGTACATCCAGGGTAAGTTTCTGTGGCGTTTTGGAGTGGGGATGCTTCATATCGGTGGAACTCCTCTAACCTTTAATTTCCCTTTCATCCCGAAGGCAACCTAGACCTTCCATGGATGAGCCGTGTAGTTTAATGGTCATAAACACTTCATATATCTATCTTCATCTAAGAATTTTGACATTTCTCAGATCAGTGTATATTAGAGTTTTGTGTCTTGTCTGTGAACAAAGATCTCCATGGTTTTGCATCTGAAATTTATGGAGATGCTTAGTTTTCATTTGCATAAAGGGCTATCCTTAGACTGCCCATACACTATACAATTTTCTGTCCAATTTCTGACCAATTTTCTTTGGATTTACCATCAATTGTGTAGTGCAAGGGCCTGCCTGATTGGATACAACTGAAAGTATTGTTTAGGTATGACCTGATATTATACGGTTTTTGGTAAATCTAAAGTAAAAATCTCAAGAAAATTTGTATAATGTATGGCCAGCCTTAAATGGAATCTAGATCTATTTTTTCTAAAATATTATTTATCCACATTTGTGACTCTGATCTATTGAATGAAAATAATACTGTTCGTTGTGTGCTTATATTTTAATGTTTTAGCTCTTAAAGTTAAAGTTGAATTTCAGGTATGGAGTTTTTACTTAGGTGCATTGCATATACAATATCTGTGAGATCCCTGTGGAAACTGGGAAAGGTTACAGTAGTCAACGCTAGTGATCTCCACTGTCTTTTGGGTTTCATGCCAAGTGGCTGCTCTGCTGCTTACTAAACACAAGAGGTTGCCCACTTGGCAGGGCACTATTCAGAGAACGCTTTATATTTTTTCACTACAAAGCTTTCTCTGGTGGAGAAGGGGGTGGTGAATGTATGACCTCCATCTCGTCATTGAGAGAATGCAAAACATTCCCTAAATGGCGCCCATGCTGATCAGGTGACCTCCTCTGTTCACAATGTAACAGGGCAGCTGTTCAGCATAGGATCCAGAAGTTAGTGGAGATCACTGGAATAGTGGTATCCAAGCTGGGCCAATGTAACTATGTAAAATATCCATACCTGAAGTTCTTCTTTAGGTTTAACTTCTATAACTAGTTTTAAAAATGTAATTACTTGTTAGAAGTAGTGCAGCAAAGTGATTGTGCTTGTGTTAGCTAATTTCCAATAGATGGCCAGCTCAGACTGAATAAAAGCTAAACATGCTGTATAGGACTTCTGTCTTCCCTGATTGTATCACTAAATAGTATGGATGGACAAATCTGCAGTGTTGGCTATTGGATTGTGACAGCCAGTGCCTGCAGAGTTGACCAAAAAAGCATTGGCTGAACAGTGACTATAGCCAATCAGATGCAGTGACTGTTCATCCAACACACACAAATCCTATTTTCAAATCCAAAGGATTTCAGGCAGGAGGGTGCCAACAGGGCCACCACTGCGTGGATTTTGGCCATTTCATTAGGAAACAGATGAAATTCACTCAGTGTATGAGTAGCTTTAGTCTTGAGTAATGCTACAACCCATTTGGCTTCATCATATGCAGCAGAAGCAAAGTTAATATCTTAGTTGTCACTAACTGGATGCATCAAGGTCAGTGTGAGGCATGTTGGTAAAGATTAAGTTAACCTAAACTCTCTCTGTTGTAGTATTGAAGACATATAAGAAGCCAGAGGCTAACTACTCTCATTCATACATAAAATGCCTTTTGGAGGAATGACCCTTTAAGAAAGCATGGTATAAGGCAAAGTTTTTCTTGCTGCTCAGTATAGGTGCACCTGGACCCCAGCTCTCCATTGTGTTTTTTTTTTAATAACATCATCTCATGCTCTGTGCATGTTGCTAGGCTCTCTGCACTGTGCTTTGGATCTTTTCACTGAACCTAATTAATTAGCTGGGCAGGAAACCTTAATCAAAGAAGATATCCTACAGTGCTTCCAGCAGGTGCCGCATGCCTGATTCATAATGACTGATTTTTGTGTGGTGATCTTGGGACGTGTACAAATATGATCCATGCCATCAATATGCACGTATTGTTGAGTATCTTCTGTTCTATTTTTAAAGTGTTTCTTAGCATCACTAGGAAAAACTGTGGCAGCCATTTTGTAGGCTGTCCCTAACCACCAAATATGTTGCTGAGGCAATATGTTGGGGAAAAAAAAATATATATATTTTTGGTCCACAGGCTGCCTTGCCCTTAGATTTTAGCAATATATACTGTACATGTCTCCTGTATGAAGATAAGCAAGCCTTTTATGTGCAAGGGGAAAATGGCAGCCACTCACATTAAAATTGGCAATGGGATGTGCACACTGGTGGGGCAATTTTACAGCAAATTATATAAAAACTTCCCAGCATTCCCCTCTGCTAGCCAGCAAAGGTGACCTCACATGACCTGCCACTAGACAAATCTAGAGGCTGGTATTGTGTTTTTTAATACATTATGAATGGCTGAACCTGAACAAATATAGAGATGAGGAATGCTGACCTTTCTCCTACTCTCATTTGCTTGTTCAGGCTCTGTAATTCTGGGTTATGGAAGGGAGAATTGGCCAGGAAGAAATGTAACTCTCCTCCATTCTATCTAAAGTTAGGTTTTTAGGCTTCAAAACCTTTGATGGACCTTAGTCCCTAATGTTTTTGAGAACTAGCTGTATCATTGCCTGAGCAAGGTAAGTGGGTTCGTATGAGTTAGTTTGGCGACAGGGCTTCCAGTGTAAATTTCAATGTAATTTCTCCTGCCCATGGAGCATAGAGGAAAAGGAAACTATGGGACTTGAAATGTACCACAAAGAGACCGTACAGGTATACATCAATAAAATTTAAATCATCTTTATTGTGCAATTAAAACATGGGTAAAAATAACCAATTTTCATATGTCATATACAGAAATGTCAGATTGGTATGTGTAATTGTTTCTAGATCATGACCGACGTGGTCGAAACACCAGACAGGAGCCAATTATTTGCACCACTTGGACATTTCTGTAAAAATCTCATAATTTCCTTTTCCTCTATGGCTCATGGACAGGAGGAATTACATTGATGTTTAGAGTAAGGGATGATGCCTGAAGAGTTCTATACGTCATCACATGAGGGTTTCACCATGATTATACTCTGCTGGTGTAAATTCTCAAAATGAGCCAATGTCATTTCAAAACCAGCCAGAAATAGCCCAGAGTACTCTAAAAAAAAAAAAAAAAAAAAAAAAAAAAAAATTAGTTTCTGGGACAACCGGTACTGGAAAAGGAGCAAAACAAAAAAAAATACGTAGCTGATTGCTCAGAAGAGTAACAAACATCTTCTAACTTGCAGAAGACTTGTGAAGTAAATTTAGATGGGAACTCTTCCTTCAATTGCACTGTATTAGTGTGATTTACAACAAATATTTGGACAGATTTCAGAAAAAGAAAAACATTTTTAAATTAGTCCAATTGGGAAAATGGCCAAACTGGCAAGCTCGATTGGCTCATTGTTGTCCCAGCGTACAAAATGGCTGCTTCAGCTGTGCTGGCTATAAGTATGTTTTAAAGTGATATATTGTGACAGTATTTTGTTTGTATGAAGTTGCTTTAAAGTGCAATAAAATATATGTATGTATTCACAATATATATAATAAAACAGGAGTAGAAAACAAACCAAGGGACTTTAAGGAAAGCTGGGTTGCCTAGAATGTTTTTTTTTTTTTTTTTTTTTTTTTTTTTTTTGTTCTGACAGTAACTAGTTTAGGGCCTTGATGGTCCCGATGATACCAATTGCTTTCTGCCCCCCACTTCCATCCATTTATTTTAATTTGTTTTATTTGGTGTGCTTCTGTTTTTTTGCTTTGTCACTCATGTTCTCCCTGCATGACATGAGCTCTGTTCCCCGCAGGCTTTGCCTGACTTTCAGGAGACCCGTCCTCGTAATTACGTACTGTCGGCCAGTGCGTCAGCGGTAAGATCAATCTACTTCCCCCTCTTTCCTTGGCCCTCGTCACTCCCTTGGCCCTCGTCACTCCCTATCAGCTGCTCAGGACTGACAGGCTAGGTGTCAGGGCTTATTAGAATTCTAGGCCTTATTAGTGTCTTATATGAATAAAGAGTTAGAGACCAATTCTGCAGGCAGGATAGATCTTGCCATGTTCTGCTAATGTGGCTGAAAAAAGGAAGTAAGGTATAAAAACTGCAACCAATGTGGACATACTGACCACAGCAACCAGCCAGGTTCATTTTGGTTTTGTCATACAGAACATGAGCTGATATGATATAGATAGATAGATATATATATATATATATATATATCTATGACACAGTTGTGTTCAAAATAATAGCAGTGTGTTGAAAAAAGTGAATAAAGCTCAAAATCCTTCTAATAGCTTTTATTTCCATACACACAAATGCATTGGGAACACGACACATTCTATTCCAAATCAAAACATGAAGAAAAATAGATCAAATTTGTGTTGTTCCTCTAAAACAAAATGAAGAAAAGTGAATATTAGACTCTTAAAAAAAAAAAAAAAAAAATAGCAGTGTTTGTATTCTTCTTTACAAACTCAAACATTCACTATATAAACTGAAAAATGTTTGAAGATTTTGCTTTCCTTTGAATCACTTAATGAATATTTGGTTGTAGTCGCACTGTTTCTGAGAACTGCTGTACATCTGTGTTGCATGGAGTCAACCAACTTCTGGCACCTGTGAACAGGTATTCCAGCCCAGGATGATTGGACTACATTCCACAGTTCTTCTCTATTTCTTGGTTTTGACTCAGAAACTGCATTTTTGATGTCACCCCACAAGTTTTTATTGGATTAAGATCCGGGGATTGGGCTGGCCACTCCATAACGTCAATCTTGTTGGTGTGGAACCAAGATGTTGCATGTTTACTGGTGTGTTTGGGGTCGTTGTCTTGTTGGAACACCCATTTCAAGGGCATTTCCTCCTCAGCATAAGGCAGCAAACCTCTTCAAGTATTCTGATGTATTCAAACTGATCCATGATCCCTGGTATGCGATAAATAGGCCCAACACCGTAGTATGAGAAACATCCCCATATCATGATGCTTGCACCACCATGCTTCACTGTCTTCACAGTGTACTGTGGCTTGAATTCAGTGTTTGGGGGTCGTCTGACAAACTGTCTCCAGCCACTAGACCCAAAAAGAACAATCTTACTTTCATCAGTCCACAAAATGTTGCGCCATTTCTCTTTAGGCCAGTCAATGTGCTCTTTGGCAAATTGTAACCTCTTCAGCACATGTCTTTTTTCCAACAGTGGGAATTTGCGGGGGCTTCTTGCAGATAGCTTGGCTTCACATAGGCGTCTTCTAATTGTAACAGTACTCACAGGGAACTTTACACCTTCTTTCATCTTCCTGGAGCTGATTGTTGGCTGAGTCCGCGCCATTTTGGCTATTCTTCTATCCATTTGAATGGTAGTTTTTCGCTTTCTTCCACGTCTTTCAGGTTTTGGTTGCCATTTTAAAGCATTTGCGATCATTTTAGCTGAGCAGCCTATCATTTTCTGCACTTCTTTATATGTTTTCCCCTCTCCAATCAACTTTTTAATCAAGGTACACTGTTCTTCTGAACAATGTCTGGAACAACCCATTTTCCTCAGAATTTCAGAGAGAAATGCACTGTAACCAGCATGTACAACATTTGCTGCCTTCCTTCCTTAAATAAGGGCAATAATTGCCACCTGTTTTTCAAAGAATGAATGACCTCACTAATAGAAGTCCACACTGCTATTATTTTGAACAAGCCCCTTTCAATGAGTGATTCAATTACACAGAATCAGCAGCATGCATGTCATGACTGTTGGGTCTGTTGGATTTCTATTACTCTACTACACCTGCTAGTAAATTATTTGCCATGTAGAAATATCATTTCTACCAAAAACAGTGATTGATCCGGTTAGTGATTCCTGACTGCTATTATTTTGAACACAACTGTGTGTGTGTGTATGTATGTATATGTATGTGTGTATGTATATATATATATATATATATATATATATATATATATATATATATATATACAGCAGCTGCACCTTTGCTACAGTTGCCTTTCCCCCAGTTTCTTTTACCCAACCCTAGTAGTTGTATCCTGACCTCCTAGAACTAGAATATTAAGCAGACTATTACATTTAACAAATGATGGTTCAAATTTAGTGATACAGGAATTATGTGCACTTTCTCCAATGATATTATTGGCTTTATTTGAGTATATTTGCATTCACCACATCCCAGCCACTGATAATACATTTTATGCCACGAGAGCGGTCTCATGCCCCTGCACTGCCACACACATTACAATTTACAACACAATATACGTATAATCTTCTTTACCAATGGGACAGCATGTTTGGACACAAAGTGGATCGTTTAGGCTCTCATATTGAGTAAAGTTGGTAATTCTAAAGGTGGTCATACACTTTGCAAAGAGCCTGCCTGGTTTGATATAAATTGAATGGGTAGATTAATTATGCTCCTATGGTTATTGATAAATCTAATGGAGGATGTGCAGATAATGTAGTCTGTATGCCCTCCTTTGGATTTACCAAAAACTATAGTTTGAGATCCTATCTAATAATCCCTAATTATTTCAGTCAGGTAGAATCTTGATTTAGATAGTTGTTCGCAAATATAAGGAAAATCAAACGATCAGGTTATGTGTATAGCCTACAGAGTGTTAACCTGTCAGTAAACAAAAATAAGGGGGCTGTATGGAATTGGTAGTTGCCTGGTCCAGGACAAGTATGCAAGTCAGTAGAGTCAGAGACCCATATCTTTATAGTTTTCCTGGGTCGGTCACTCAAAGTACTGAAGTGAGAGTCAGTATGACAGTCAGACAACTAACATTTTTTAGGAGATTTCAGCAATGGCTTCCTCCATGTTTCTCTTATCACTGGTTTTGTTTAAGGACTTGGCATGGCTACATTGAGAAGATGAAGCAGGGGTCAGAGCAGGTAGCAGGGGCACACCACCACAATGGCATGCAGTCACTAACAAAGCACTAGTACTGTAGGACAAAGGGCACACTACTCATTACAGACCTCACTTACAGCTTCACCCATTCCTGTATGATGCTTCCGTGCTTATTTGCCACAGCATCCAATTTGCTAGCTGCCACTCTGGCTAAACAGCCATGCCAGGTCACTCCTGCAGAATGCATTTGGACTGCTGTGGATGCAATCTTCCTCTAATGGAGGTGGCTATATCCTAACATTTGTGATTCCACCTCTTAAATGAATATGCAAGCTGTCATTACAGACATCTTGTGAAAATACTAAATGAATTTCTTTTCTGCAGATCAAGTACCTTCAAAGCTATGGTCATTGGCTCGGGTGTCTCTGGCATCAATACTTTCTCATTCACTGACCAAGGACAAGCATGTAGCTTGTAAGAATGAATACTGGCTGTATGCTTGCTTTGGGTCAGTGACTGAGAACAGCATGGAAATCTGACATTAGGGCAGCTAGCATTTTCAGGAGCTGGCCAGCAGCGGCAACCTACATATTTTTGAATGCAGAAGTCCGGGGCAACTACTTTACTACAGAGCATTAGAGGCAGCTGTATAGTCTGAGGAAATTTTCATTACCATGGAAACATATGAGGCCTCCTGCATAATATATGCAGAACACTGTTGCCCTTAGCAACCACTAGAGAAGATAGCACCTTGAAGAAGGTCTGTTTTTTGTGAAACTGAAAGTTTATACAGTTTTGTGAGGGCTGTCTCAATGGACCCAGAGATAAGGACCTGAAGACTAGTTGGAATGTGTGGCCATACGGTTCCTTCCTCCCCTGATCCCTAGGGGGTTTTCTCTTCGGGAGAACCCCCTCGCCTAGTACTGGATGTCCGGCTTCGGCTGGGCATAAGGAACGGTGGTCCACCAGGCCTTTTGGCCAGGAGGACCAAATGGGAACCTTGTCCCTGTCAGGAGCTTCGTGCCCCGGGGGATCAGGCGAACGGTCCAACCCTTTCGGGGGTAGGACAAACACACCCCTAAGTGCACGTTTTTCGTGTGTGTTTTGCACTTGCACTTTTTTGCGGACACTTACGGGTTTTTTCGATATAGTTGCACGTTTGCGGACTTAAAAAAAAAACAAAAAAAAAACAAAACATTTTTTAGGAGATTTCAGCAATGGCTTCCTCCATGTTTCTCTTATCACTGGTTTTGTTTAAGGACTTGGCATGGCTACATTGAGAAGATGAAGCAGGGGTCAGAGCAGGTAGCAGGGTCACACCACCACAATGGCATGCAGTCACTAACAAAGCACTAGTACTGTAGGATAAAGGGCACACTACTCATTACAGACCTCACTTACAGCTTCACCCATTCCTGTATGATGCTTCCGTGCTTATTTACAACAGCATCCAATTTGCTAGCTGCCACTCTGGGTGGCTAAACAGCCATGCCAGGTCACTCCTGCAGAATGCATTTGGACTGCTGTGGATGCAATCTTCCTCTAATGGAGGTGGCTATATCCTAACATTTGTGATTCCACCTCTTAAATGAATATGCAAGCTGTCATTACAGACATCTTGTGAAAATACTAAATGAATTTCTTTCCTGCAGATCAAGTACCTTCAAAGCTATGGTCATTGGCTCGGGTGTCTCTGGCATCAATACTTTCTCATTCATTGACCAAGGACAAGCATGTAGCTTGTAAGAATGAATACTGGCTGTATGCTTGCTTTGGGTCAGTGACTGAGAAAGAATGGAAATCTGACATTAGGGCAGCTAGCATTTTCAGGAGCTGGCCAGCAGCGGCAACCTACATATTTATTGAATGCAGAAGTCCCTTAAGACTACTACTACTACTGAGCATTAGAGGCAGCTGTATAGTCAGAGGAAATTTTCATTACCATGGAAACATATGAGGCCTCCTGCATAATATATGCAGAACACTGTTGCCCTTAGCAACCACTAGAGAAGATAGCACCTTGAAGAAGGTAGTTTTTTGTAGAAACTGAAAGATATACAGTTTTGTGATTGGCTGTCTCAATGGACCCAGAGATAAGGAGGAGGAAGACAAAGTAGTTGGAGAAAGTAGATCACAAAATAAGTTCCACTAAAGCCACCAAAAACAGCTGCCAAGCAGCAACAGAACCACCTGGCTTGATTTAAAAGGTATTTGAAAGGCTACTAAAACCATTTAGACCAACACAAATGTGAGTGGGACTTGTTTATGCCATTAGCAGCTCAAGGTTGCAGTTCCATAACTCTATCCAGACAAGTTCCTTTTCATAAATCATTTGGTATATGTAGGTCTTCACTGGTTTGTTTTATATGGTTCATGTAACATGACTGTATAGGAGATTTGTAGGAGTAATACAGATGTGAAGGTCATTTGACTTCTCTTTTTTTGTTGGAGTCTGACTTTCCCTTGAGCGTTTGAATTCACCATGTCCAAACTTTCATTGTTAACATCCATCAGCCATACTCTTGTCTAGGAAAGACCAGAGCATTCCATATAGAGTTCCACAGACCTTCTGTAGTGTATACTAAAATCACTTTAAAATATACCCTGACCTTATTACATTTCTAAGGCAGTTACTTGGATCCTATGCCCAAGGGCTGTACATGGAGCCTTGACTTGTACAAAAGACAAAATTAAGCCTGGTCTGCTGCTGACACTACACTTTTACCTCTGGCATGTATCTGTCAGTGGACAGTAGATAATTAGGCATTTAAGTTGTGTGCCAAGATGAGGTGGAACTTGATTTTGATTTTAGCTAGCCTATTCAAGACTCCATGTACAGCCTGGTCCTTGGATACAGATGGTGCTCCACAGGGACATAGAGATCAATTTAAAGACTAACACTGGTACTTGTGTTCATTTTGGTGCTGTTGTACTGCAGAAATGTTAAGAACCAGGTCAGGTCCACTTCAATGGTATTCTCTTTCCTGAAGTGTTACAGTTTAAAAAGTGTGCCTTTTTTTACAGGAGTATCTATAGCCAAAACTTTGTATTGGCTTTGGCAATGTATGTTCTCCATCTTTTAAGGGGCATGAAGAAAACCTATAGCATAACCATACACAATATACTAAAGCCACCCAATAGTGTTACAGTATTATTATACCATCTAATAAGTCTGGGTTGATTAGTAGAAAAGCAGAAATATCCAAACAATAAAATGCAAGAATAAATGATTGAACATTTTAATAAATAAATAACTATTATAGTATAAACCTTTTCCAGTCACTATCTCAGGTAGGGATGCACAGATTTATGGACCACTGAAAATTATTGGTGGAAAAACAGGGTCATCGGTCGATAGGGAAAAAAAAGGTGCCAATAATGGCATGTTGTGTCCCGCTGACAGTGCAAAATCGCGTCCCATAGACCTCAGTGCAAAAATGCCCCTAGGGACTTCAATGAAATATTGCACCCCATAGACTTCACTGCAAAAAAACCTCTAGTAACTTCAATGCAATATCGCATCCCATAGACTTCAATGCAAAAAAATGCCCCTAGGGACTTCAATGCAATATCGCATCCCATTGACTTCAATGCAAAAACACCAGCCACAATAAATTGAAAAAAAAAAAAATCAAAAACTGTCCATTTTCGGTTTCAGTTTTCAGCCAATTGCATCCTAAATTTTCGGTTTCGGCACCAGAATTTTCATTTCGGTGCACCCCTAATTTCATGAAAACTTATTCAAATTAAATCCTATATAGGTTCCTGTTTCCACACATATTTAGACATCTGCAAAAATGTAAATCTAGTAAATCTGAACAGGTACTCTATTGGCACCATTACAGCAAATAGTTGCTGGGTAGTGTAAAGGAGATTGTAGTATGTTTAAGTGCCTATCTGAACAATCTCTTCAGTTTTATATTCGGTCAATTAGGTCTTCACTCTGCCTTTGCAGCCAAGTTGAAGCACAACTTCAGACCGTTTTGGGTACATTTGGGAAGAGTAATACTTTGTGAAGTTTTTATTGATCTCCATGTCCATGTTGGAGTGTTTCACTTGAATATCTATCTGACACGATAACAAGAAATGAAGGGAACAGTTGTCATTGTAACAGTAAAACAATCAATGGACAAAGACTCTAATACCTGATGGAGGTTCTGACCCTTCTAACACTGTCCAAAAACTAAAACCCAGGTTTGTGCTGAAGAGTGCAGTATGTTTGCAGGCACCATATTGAAACAACCCAATTTGCTATATTGCTGTCAGAGATCCCCGAACATCCAGGCGTTGGTGGACATGTCAGTTCTGCAAATCCTTATAGTTCAAAATCGAAATTTGCCTGGGAACAGTGGTGCCTTTTGGCAGCAATTTAAGAAACCATGGTGTTGCAATACAAATCTGCGGTGCCAGCATATGGTGCCTGCTAGTTAATTATAGTCTTGGTTTTATTGTGTATGGCCATTTACACAAGTTAACTTCAGAGTAGCACCGTGTCTTATAAAGAAGCTAAAAGTCTTGTTTTCTGCAGATGTACACCTAGACCACCTCTTATTGTCTTGAGGGAGGAACATTACTCATGTTTTGCCTTAACATCAAAATTTAACAAGTGCATAATGAGGCATTGGCACAGGTTCATATAAAATGTAGTGATGCTTGGCAAAGTGCAGTAAAATATGGAGCCAGATTTACACTTCATGTAGACAGATCTGTAAAAAGAAATATTTCCTTGGCTTCTGGGGAGTGCTGCACAGTGTGCCTCTTCCCATGGCACTGATGTATTGTAGAGTATCTTTATTTTTCATATTGATCATGTAATATCTACATTACATAGAATGGCACTGAACAACAATTAGGCTCAGTAAGCCACTTCAAAATAAGACAAACATAAGCAATTCAAACAATCCATAATGAAACAATGAATAAAGAGGTCACCTTCAGTAAATTCTGCACTTTAAAACAATTAGTAGATCCAGAGATATAGACAACAGAATTTATATGCAGATCTTGAATGACCATGCCCTTTTATGTCTTGGGTTATCTGTTTTGCTCTTTTAATGCAATAGATGGCTTCAACAAAAGAAAATCTCAGGAGACAGAAAAGGGTGGGGTCAAGCTTGACCATCACAGGGAATGTCAGTGTTTTTTATGTGATGTGATTATATTTCTGGATCTGCTAATTGTTTGGACATGCAGGTTTCACGAATGATAACCTCCTCTTTTTGAATTTTTATTCTATGCTCAGTTTGACCTGTCCAAGTTTTGTTATGGGTTCAGTTAAGTTGGCTGTATAAAAACCTGAATGCACCACATTAAAACCTTCAGTCTAAGTTTGCAGTGATCCACACTCCCGTTAACATTTCCTTTTCCTTCCCATCCCTCCTCTGTGATCATCATTCGCTGTTGTGTTTTGTTGAGTGCCTATGACGTTATCTCAGACTCATCTCTCCTGTTACTCTGTGACTGCAGCTTTGGAGTGACGAGGTGGACAAGGTAAGCACGCCAAAGACCACATGTAGGACTATTGTTGTGCCCTGTGCTTCCCAGAACTGTTCTCAAATCAAACCAGGTCTCGCCATCTCAGGCCTCAGAAAATGCCAGCACTACATATCCTTTTGGCTGCTCCATTCACTTTAAATTAGAGTACAATAGTCCAAATGGAACAGTGGTGTTCCATTTAGAACAAAGCTGCTTCATTCACATTTAATTAGGGTACAGCAGTCCCAAGATGGCCAGAATATCCAACGATCGCACAAGTGTTTTGCGGAGCAATCTCACCAAAACATGGCTGAGTGATTGGGTTTATGCCTTGCACAGGTACCCCCAGCATTGGTCCTTGAATGTTTGTTTGTCTGGGAAGTTCAAATTTAGGTAATATATTTTTCTATTTTTCCCTGGAAAACTATTTAACTAAAAGGAATTTATAGGGGCACTATGGTTTCAGTGGTATCTAAAAAGGTCCAAAGGATCTCTAACCAGGAACCAAATCAGTAAAAGATTTGCCATTTTCTGAAGTGTTGACCACTGGAATAAACCACAACTTTTCTTCACAAATCTAGCATGTAGGGGCAGTGTAGGCATGCCGGAGATCCTATTCCCTTTTCTGTAACAGTCACTGATCCATTTTAGGGCTTTTCAGCATCTTGTCAATACCTTATTATGATGAGGATGTTGGTTCTTCTATTGCCTAATGATTGCAAGCAATGCCAAGATCTTTTATGTGTCTCTTTACAGACCTAAAATGGGGCAAAATCCAAGCCTTCAGTAAGTTTAATGCACATAGATGTCTTCAGATAGGACATTGAAAATGGAGTCTATAGGTTATTCCCACTTTTTGTTGACCCAGGTGCAAGATGTAAGCATACCTCTCCGGAGGTTACAAATATACTTCTTTAACAGATAATTTGTATTATCAAGCAAAATCTTATGAGAAATGGTGATGATGGATTTTGGGGGTATGGGGAAGTGAGGAGTTGTGGTGACTTTGATAGACTCAATGAGATTATCCTGCACCCACCTTTTTATAAATTCTTTTATTTTTCATTTTCAAGAGGAAAAAAAAACATACAGACAGTATTGATATTCACATGACTGAAAATGTATGTGATGGTGACTGTCATCCAAGCGATATTCAAACCAACTGAAAAGGTTCTTTAGTTTACAAGTTTACAGTTACTGAGCTACTCTTTCTAGGGGTATGTCCAGAGAATATTCCTGTAGATACTACGCCTGAGAAAGTGTTGCGATAGAGGAAAACAAGTACCAGAGATAGTTGTGGTTCTCATTGGTCTTCGGAGCCTGTAATAGATCCCGTATAGACATTGTCCTGTGTCAGTGGGGAGCAGAGCCGAAAACCAAGAGAGTAAAAGGATTATCCATAAAGGAACTACTGAACGGGAGAAAAGAGTGGGGAGATAAAGGAGAAGGGGGGGGGGGGGGCAGTGGTGCTAGCAACTCGAGCAGTTCGAATAGGCCTCTGTGGTCAGTGGTGCGTGGTCATAGGCTAACCTAATAAAGATTTATGCTGGGGGTCCCATATTCCTTGGAACAGGTGAATTCAGTCCAGTAGAGCCACGTCCAATTCCCCACCTTTGAAAAAAAATATGCATTTAAAGCTAAATTAACAGTCTTGTAAGGAGTAATTCACATCAATTCACTTTTCTGAAGGAAATTCTGCTCCAGGTTCCCTCTATTAAAACACACATAACTAAAAGCCTTGGCGTAGGTCATATGGCATTTGCTGTAGGGGAGTACTGGAGACCAGATTGGCTGATCCTTTCTGCTGAGATAACATACCAAAATGCCTAGGCCTTTGGTGATGTGAGCAGTACTAGAGGAACAATGAGCAGCATTTTCTCCAGGAAAGGTATTTAAGCTCTTGTATTGCTTGGTATTTTCCATACTGTTAGCATGCCTTTAAGTTAAAGTAGTATTAAACCCAAAACCAAAAAATGTAATATTGCAATTTACCAATCTTTAGATGGGGTGGCTGCACTAGTTATCTTTTAGTCTCCCCCCCCCCCCCCCCCCCCCCCCCCCCCCCCCCCCCCCCCCCCCCCCCCTCTATTTTCACCTGGTGATCTGGCCAGTAACACCCCTCCTGTATTAGAGTGCCTGCACTCTGGATGAAGGAGCACAGGGGAACCTTTGGACAGCACTATTTTCAGTCTGGTCAGGGGGTGTATTAAATGAACTAGCAGATTTAAATCCACTACCAAATTGGAGCCAAACTCCAGCTATAATCAGTTACAAGTTTTTTGTTTTTTTTTCCTTTTGGGATAAAGGTTTTACATGAATAAATAACTGATCATTGTAAGTACCCCTGTTGCTGTTAAATGGGTTGTCTCATCCCTGTAAAGTTATACATTTGGAAGAGAGCTTGTCCTTTTGAAAACACTTACTGGCTGGATCACCAGAAGAAAATCAAGGAAAGAAAACTACTGCAGCCATTACATCAAAAAAATGGTAAGCTGCAGTATAATAAATGTTTGATCTATACTCAAATCTTTCATCAGTATTAAACCCAAAAGCAATTTTAAGTCCGGAATGAGCAGCTTCATGTCAGGTGCTTTTTTCATTGATTATCTGGTGGTGTTCTGCCATGCTGGTGTTTTCTGAGGCTGTGGGTTGGGAAACCACTATGTCATGTACCTTAAATTTGTGACGGGCACCTATTATTTCTAGACTTGGCCTAATGCCAGAAATAGGACTGACCAAGGCGTCCATTTTGTTTGTTGGCTGTTTATCCTCCTCTGTTGATTTGTTTATAACATCCCTCCCTAGCATGACCCTCTCCTCCTCCCGAAAGAAGCTCTTCTGGATGGGTAGGGATAGGTGATTGTTATTTTCTAGACACCAAATGTGACAGCTTCCAGACATACATACATTTTTGTCATCTTAAATAAAAAAGAAAAGTATGCAAAATGATGTGCCAAGGAAGCAGGCCACGTCAGAAGGCCAAGAAATGACATCACCCAGCTGTGGCAAACTCATCAATACTTCCTGCTGTCCTGATTGGCTGTCTAACTTTACTACCAGACGAATATAATACATAGCTGACAACCATTGCTGATTTTCAGAGACAGTCCCAGGTTTTGGAAATCTGTCCTCCAAATTTCTTTTCATAATCTAAACTACATGCTGAAGTGTCACATTTGGTTATTGACTCAATATTTGTGATTTTTTTTTTCTTTTTAAATTTAAGTAACGTTTTAAAGGACATTAAATGCTTTCATATTAATGTTGATTAGTGAATATGGCACAATAGGATTTATGCTTTATGATCTGAAGCTGAATGTACAAAACAGCCTAAATAGATCACTGCAACAGGAAGGACAAATGGAACGTGACTGACTATGGTAATGACTAAGCTGCCCTAATATACAATGAAAGTGATAGCAAACTGTGAATAAAGAATGAATGTGTGAAAATGGGAATATATAGTTCATTTCCTTATCCAAGGCTCTGCAACTGCTAAAATACATGTCACCTCTCCTCATTGCATGCCAATGGCATTGTGCAGGGGCCCTTAGTAAATGAATTGTTTACAATGGAGTGTATACTGAACTTGTGTTAAAACTGAACTCCAGGCAAACGACTAAATATCCAGTTGAAATTCAGAGCTGTTTTATCTGTCAAAAGATTTGTATTTCTGTCCATTCAGTTCTGAGATTTACACAGCCACCTGAGGGAAGGAGAGCTTCCCTTCACTTCAATATAAAGAACACTGGGACGTTTTAGGTGTATTCTAATTGATTTACAACAACTCTGGGAGCTTGAACTCCCCTTTACTATAGGAGTGTTTTAGGAGGTTGTAGTAAATGGCCACTATATGGAAGATATGGCAGTCTTCATGTAGCAGCCATAACATTATGACCACCCACCATAACCTATTGAGGCATGGACTCCACTAGACAGCTGAAGCTATGCTGTGGTGTCTGGCACCAAGCTGTCAAAGGCAGAACCTTCCAGTCCTGTAAGTTGTGTTGTGTGGCTTCCAAGAATCTGACTTGTTTTTCCAGCACATCCCCACAGATCTTTATTGGATTGAGATCTGGAGACTTTGGAGGCCAAATCATCACCTCAAACTTGTGTTTTTTTGTACCATGCTTGAATTCATCAGACCAGGCCACCTTCTTCCATTGCTCCTGTGGTCCATTTCTGATGCTCACATGCTCATTGTTGATGCTTTTGGCTGTGGACATGGATCAGCATGGACACCCTGACTGCTCTGAGGCTACACATCCCCATACACAACAAATTCCTATGTACTGTGTGTTCTCACACCTTTCTGATGGAACCAGCTTCAACCGTTTTCAGCAACTCTTATATTGGACCAAACTACACAGGCCAGCCTTTGCTCCCCACTTGCATCAGTGAGTCTTGGCCACCCATGACCCTGTTGCTGGTTTTCCTTCTTTGGACCACTGCAGGCTGGGAACATCCCACAAGAGCTAAGGTTTTGGGGATGCTCTGACCCAGTTGTGTAGTCATTACATTTTGGCCTTTGTTAAAGTTGTGGAAATGCTTACGCATGCCCATTTTTTTTTTTTTTTTTTTTCGGTTTTCAATTTTTTCAATTTCAGGGACAACATGTTCACTTGCTGCCTAATACATCGCACCCACTTTCAGATAACATTGTAACGACAATCTGTGTTCTTCACTTACCTGTCATAAGGTTCTCTCTCTCTTTGTGCAAATGGAGCTTTGAATCTGCTCCCTGAATAAACTTAGCAGTTATTGGAAGTGTGATCATTTTACTATGTGACCCAATTTCTAACATTCACATAGCATCTCACTCCGTGGCTCCTCATGTCCTCTTCTTTATATAGGTGTTTTTTTTTTTTTTAAATCCTTTGCTGTTTTTTCTCTCTCCCCCCCTCCCCCCCTCTTAGCAGGAATCGGGTTGGGATTGCTCCACCATAATGAGTACCCTCTCCTAGAGATATTTTCCACTGTTTCTTTATAAAACCAATCTCTTGGTATGAGAAACGCATTGAACAGCACACCATACCCCATCCGTAGAACCAGCACTTACCTTAAAGGAAAGCTTAATTCCATTTCATAGTGAATGGACTATGTTGAGTAGTGGGGTATCTGAGTGTATTTTTTCTGTGGACATTTTATCATCCATACGCAATGTTTTTGTAATTCTATCTTGTCTATAGTTAATATACAGCTCCTTATTCCTGAATTTTAGTTTTCAATAGATGTTTGAAGTACAATCATTTTCATGTAAGTTTCAAAGGATGTGCCCTCTTTATTCCTGAATGTTTAAGATTGTATTATTCATTTTAATGATATCTGTTGTTGTACCTGATGGATATCAATTAGTACAACATGAAAAGTCCCAATGTCCCTTTATTTTTGGTGTATATATTGCTTTAAAGGGATGTGATTCAATATAACTTGCCAGTCACAGGTGTAATTAAAATCCACTGCTGTTCAGGTAACATACCCTGTGACTGGATAGTGAAGGAAAGGCAGCAACATTGAGGTCATCTCTCTGCTCTTGTTTTCGATCAACATGCTTTTTGCACTGCAGCATAACTGATTGGCTCCTTGTGCTGCTGCCACCCAGCCCCCTTGTGAGCACTGCTGCACATTAAAAGGCTGATACCAGGTTAAATTCAAGTGCTTTCATTTATATATAAAAACCTTTAAGGCTCTATTACTGAACATAGAGCTACATTAATTTGTTTATATCTGCCTGGACTTCAGTTTGAACTTTTTTCTGTCTCTTACTGACCATCAGCCAGGAGGCAGTAGAGATGTTGTGTCAAGTTAACTTTGGAAACTGTTTTCATGTAAAGACTTGCAACAGTTTCAAGCGGATTGTGCAGCTAGGTGGATAAACACATTCATTGGAGTGCAGTGATCTGAATAATCAGCTTAACTTGCAGTCTCCTAAAAATTCCTTGTATTTTTATTAAAAACATTGATCCATTCAGTGCTTATTAGCTTCCTGGGATTTATGTAATACAGTGGGGAAAAATAATTATTTGATCCCTTGCAGATTTTGTAAGTTTGCCCACTTACAAAGAAATGAAGGGTATATAATTTTTATCATAGGTGTATTTTAAATTGTAGAGACAGAATAGCAATAAAAAAAACCCCCAGAAAAACGATACAAATGTTATAAATTAAGTTGCAGTTCAGTGGGTAAAATAAATATTTGATCCCCTACCAACCAACAATAATTCTGGCTCCCACAGACTGGTTATGTGGTACACAGATTAGTTCTGTCAGTTTAAGAAGGTGCTCCTAAAGACAATTTGCTATGTGTATAAAAGACACCTGGCCACAGAATCTGTCTTCTGTTCACACCTCAGCTTGCCATGGGCAAAACCAAAGAGCTGTCACAGGACATCTTAGACAAGATTTACCTGCGCAAGGCTGGAATGGGCTACAAGACCATCAGCAAGAAGCTTGGTGAGAAGTAGAAAACTGTTGGAGCCATTATTCCCAAATGGAATATATACAAAATAACCAGCAGTCGCCCTTGGTCTGGGGCTCCATCCATGATTTTGCTTCATGGGGTATCATGAGAAAAGTGACAAATCAGCCCAGAACTACAGGGGAGAAGCTTGTGAATGATCTCCAGGCAGTTGAGACTGGAGTCACCAAACAAACCATTGGTAATACAAGATGCTGCCATGGATTGAAATCCTGCAGCACATGCAAGGGTCCCCTTCCTCAAGAAGGCACATGTACCGGCCTGTCTGAAGTTTGCCAATGAACATCCAAATCATTCAGAGAAGGATTGGGAGAAAGTGCTGTGGTCAGATGAGACCAAAATGGAGCTCTTTTGGCATTAACTTGACTTTCAGTATTTGGAGGAAGAAAAATGCTGACTATGACCCTAAGGATACCATCCCTACAGTCAAGTATGGAGGTGGAAACATTATGCTTTGGGGCTGTTTCTCTGCTAAAGGTACAGGCCGACTTTGCTGCATTGAGGGGCCAATGGATGGGGCCATGTATTGTAAAATCTTGGATGAGAACCTTCTTCCCTCAGCCAGAACACTGAAGACAGGTCCTGGATGGGTCTTCCAACATGACAATGACCCAAAACATACCACCAAGGCAACAAAGGAGTGGCTCAAGAAGAAGCACATTGAGGTCATGGAGTGGCCTAGCCAGTCTCCAGACCTTAATCCTATAGAAAATTTATGGAGGGAGCTGAAACTTTGAGTTGCCAAGCGAAAGCCAAGAAACCTTAAGGGTTTAGAGAAGATCTGTAAAGGAGAGTGGACCAAAATCCCTGCTGAGATGTGTGCAAACCTGGTAACCAGCTACAAGTAACGTCTTACCTCCTGTGCTCGCCAACAAGAGTTTCTCTACCAAGTACTAATTTATGTTTTTGGGATCAAATACTTATTTTTACTCCCTGAACTGCAGCTCAATTTGCAACTCAACATTTTGTATCATGTGTTTTTGATAAAATTATAGACCCTTTATTTCTTTGTAAGTGGACAAACTTACCAAATCTGCAGGGGATCAAATAAATATTTTCCCCACTGTATATTAAATATTCTGTTTTAGTGTACCATGAGGGTATAAAGGTGAGTGCTGCAACAGAATTAAACTACAATTCTTCCATGATGTCAGAGGAAGATTGTCCCATTCTGATTTTGGAGATGATAGGGGGTGAGATTACCCCACTGTGGGTTATGTGGGGGGCGGTTTCACTTTCTCAAATTGGATTTTCCTGTTCGTGGAGAATCCATCAGGGGCACTTGGGGCAATCACAGATACTTTTACGACAAAAGTGCTGACAAATATCATTCTCTCACTTGAGATATCCCCCTCATTTTCCAACGTAGTCCAAATTAAAAATACCCATTTGGATGAAGCTGCCTTTACAGCAAAACACAAAACAACAGAATGAGGTGCCAAGTGTAGTAACCTTTTAGCAACCCAGAGATACTTCACTACCTTCAAGCGGCATTATTTTGATTGTTTGCTCTGTGTTACGGCACTTTGCTTTCTTAGCTTACGACCTTTCGACCGAGGTAGGCTGATGCCAAATGCTTGCTGTCAGTTTGTGGAAGTTGCAGCAAGTTGCTACCACCCCCCGTCATTTTGCACAGTGGGCCACTATGAATAACAATCACAATCATTCTCAAGTAGGCTTTCTCTGTAGAAGATGCAGATACATCCTTCCCAGATTCATCACAAGGTAAAAAAAACTCCTATGAGGGCTGTAGATGGGAAGCTGGCATTCCCTGACCCTCAGGCAGCATACTAGATCAGGGCAATGCAGTTGAATCCATTCTGCTTAACTACCTCATAGCTATTAGGTGGTTCAGAATCCACATTGCCACCTTCCATCAATGGCTTGTCTCTTGGGTATATTCCTTTGCTAGAGATCCCTTTTAAGCCTAGGTAGAAGAGACTCCATTTAGTCCCAGAAGAGCTGGAATCCAGAATACCAGTTCTAGTTGGTAGTAATAATATTATTAATAAAGGATCATTATTTTGAAGAGAACCTGTCCTTTAGACACTGGAAGCCATTATATTGAGGAACAACCTGGAAGCCATTATATTGAGGAACAACCAAGTTCAGCCTGTCATGCTGTGTGCCACAGTGATGTCTCTTGGTTCTACTGGATTCATTTTCTGAAACACTGGAGAAACCTACAAAATGGCTGCCACTCCTGACAGGTACACTTTAGAATTTTCTTGTATTGATCTGAGAAAAATTGTTTAATTCTCTTGCAGGCAGAACACGAGTTGCGAGTGGCACAAACTGAGTTTGATCGCCAGGCTGAAGTCACCAGACTGCTGCTGGAAGGGATTAGCAGTACACACGTAAGTCCTGACCTCCAATCTACCTGAGATTTATGGAACAAAGGAAAAATGTTGATTCTTTTTCTACTTAGAGGTGGACCAAATCAATTCACTACTGTACAGGAGGGTGGGCTATAAATTGGCTCCTGACTAGATGAACATTTTTTTTTTAACCCCTTCACCCCTAAGAGTAAAACAAATCTAAATGCCTAAGCACAAATTTGCAACGTTGTTAGTAAAACCGTACATATCATCACAACTACTTTGTGCATCCAGGTGAATTATACCTTGTTTTTTTTCTGGACAAATTGGGCTTTCATTTTTTGGTAAATGGTAATGGATATCTCCTGATTTTTTTTTTTTTTTTTTTTTTTTTTTTTTATACTATCAAAGGAAAACTGGCCCAAAATGGCAAAAAACAAAAAAGTTTTTAAATTTAGCTGTGCATTTCTTGTTGCTACCATAACCTACCACCAAAGAACAACCCAAAATAAATTTTCCAGCTCTTGACACTCGCAGCGATACCATATATATGTATGTTATTTGCATCCGTAGTACAGCCCAGAAACAATAGTACACATTTTGTTTTTACCTAAAACACACTGACACCAATTTTTATTTTTTAATTTTTTTTAAATCCTGACCTTTTGACATTTGACCCTGATCGTGACCCAAACACTTACCATGGCACTGAACTAGATCAAACTTTGATATAGGTATCTTTTCCTTTTTATTTTTCAATATTTTTCATTTTTTTTTTACAAGCATTTTTTTCCCCTCCTTCATAGAGAAAAAAAAAAAAACACTCAAGGGGGCCGGGCTGTACAGTGAGTGATCACTGTGATAGCCAACCAGAGGCTATCACAACGATCATGTGACCTGGGATCAGCAGTCTAGGGTCCCAATCGTTAGAACGGGACCCGAGGCTCTCAGTGACACCGTGGTATTTGTGCTGGAAGCGCGCTCCCAGCAGAAAGACAGGTATGCAAATATGCAGCCCCAGGGAAAAAAAGCCCAGTTCTGTGAGGCCGCATATTTGTGTTACGTCGGCGTCAAGGGGTTAAATAAGGTTTCCAGCTTTGTGGACAGGTCCATAGTAGAGAGCACCTTAGTGGGCTATTGTTTAAGTGATTTGGAGGACACAAGTCCAGCTGAAATAAAATACATTCATATAGTTTTTGTGTTTAAAATGCTGGCTCCACAATACCACATTTCACCAGCACATAGGGTTGAGGCAGTGTTTCTCAACTCCAGTCCTCATGGACACCCAACAGGTCATGTTTTCAGGATTTCCATTATTTTGCACAGGTGATTTGATCAGTTTCACTGCCTTAGTAATTACCACAGCTGTTATATCTGAGGGAAATCCTGAAAACATGACCTGTTGGGGGTCCATGAGGACTGGAGTTGAGAAACACTGGGTTGAGGTGAGTCATGTCGGTCTGGTGTGAATAAAGCTGGCCGGAAAATTGTCGAGCAAAGCGGCTGCCTCCTGATCAGATGCAGTTGCTGTTCAGCTGACAATATTTACCTGGCTCCTTCAATTTTTTTTCTTTTAATCAAAGGATGTTGGTTGGGAGGGGGATGAGTGCTGGGAGTCACTCCCTCACTACCTGAATGCTGCAAAATCTTTTTTGCTGTCAAGGGCGATGGACTGGTACTCATAAAGAGGGAGAGATATTTATTACTAAATTAAAGCTTGCACAGAGTTCTAAGATCAGAAATTTGCACACACCAATAGCCTTGCCTTATTTGTTAGTAGCATTCAATGTTTACTAATGGCCTGAGCTTTAGCTGATGGATAATATCCTGGAAAAAAGTGTTATATGTTTCTCTTCCATAGGTCAACCACCTCCGCTGTTTGCATGAGTTTGCAGAAGCCCAGGCTACATATTCTGCCCAATGCTATCAGTACATGCTGGACCTGCAGAAACAGTTGGGCAGGTAAGTAGACTTTAAAATGTATGGGGACTCCAATGGGGGGGGGGGGGGGTATCCAAGAGGCACTGGGGCATTGATATGAGTTTAAACAAGGTAGTAAGAGGGCCCACTGGCTCAGGTTAGGCTGCTCTCAACAGACAAAGGTACCACAGTACCACAGCAGGTCACCAGAAAACAAAGTGCATATATGGAAGGAGCGCCAGACCGAAACTTAAGACAGCCAAATGAATTTGAACTCTTAACACAATATCCGTAAATGAATTTGGACTCTAACTTTCGGTCTGGTGCTCCTTCCATATATACACATTGAAATGTATGCATCGCATACATATAACTTGGTCCCAACACTCGAACACATCAGCTCTAGGACGACAGAAGTGGCCAAATGCTCGCATGGAACTTTGGCTAATTAATAAGATAATGTTCACATTCAATGTGCAGCAACCTGGTTGCTACAGTTACATAGGTGAAAGATTCTCAACCTACAGTGTAACCTCCTAAAGTTTGCTTTTGGCTACATTCTAGAAGTCTAAACTTAGAGAGAGGGTGGTCTGTCCATCACACCAGATGAATCATAGTTAAGTGGCACATGTACATTATTAAATGTCACCCTAGCTGTAATCATGAGATCTCTGAATCAGTTTTACTAAGGTGTGGAAACTTGTTTTTTTTTTTTAGTAGTTTCATATAAAAGTAAACCGTTTTACTGTATTTAATAAACCTTTTGTAATGCCATGTTTCACTTACATTTTTCCTTATGCTGGCAGCTCAAAGGGTGATGTGTAAGTATACTTTTTTTTGTCATGTGTATTTGGTAATGACTGCCTTGCCCCAAGTGACCAGCTCTTCCCAATATACTTTGTTGTCAGGTCATGGTCAGCATGCATTATTATTGAAGTTGTCACTGGGTCTAATGACTAAAATTGTAAGAAGAAACCGTTGTATTTCTCTACCCTAGAAATGTAATGAGCTGGTTTTTACACCGTAGAAATAGGAAGAGATGGCCTGACCAGTACACACCTCACCCGACCCAAGTGCAGGTAAAAGCAGCCTCAGCTCAAATCATCCAAGCCATGCCCCCAACATTTTGCCCCACCCCAGGGACTTAATTATGGAGGTCCATGATTAAGCCCTGGAAAAACCTGTTGGGGGCATGGCTTGGATGAATTGAGCTGAGCCTGCTTTTACCTGTTAAGCACTCAGGCTGGATGAGTTGTGTATTGGTCAGGCTATCTCTTCCCATTTCTACAGCATGCTTTGGGCCTGGATGAACTTTTCCTCATCCTGCACCCTCACTAGTCAGTGGAATGCAATTCATCGGACTTGTTAGCCTGAGTGTGGGCTATTAAGCATTTATCGTGGAGCTGTAAAAAGATTCCTCCTTCAGATAATTTGTCACAAATCTGTTTAATGCCTCCAGGCCTTGGTGCATGTCACTGTTTAAGGAAACCTGTGCAGAGAAAAGAACTTGGCAACGGCTACTGCTAAGCTTTCCTTCTAAAAATGCTGGTTCACTGGCTTGTAGGGAGTGTGAAGCCTGTGATTACTGATCCAATAGCTTAATTTCTTTCTCACTGACTGAACAAGTATGCTGATGAGAAGTTCTGACCTCATCCACATTCCTGTTCTGGGTCAGTGACTAAGAAAGTCTTGAGTCCAAGGACAGCCAGCCACTTTAGAGATGGCTGCCAATGTTAACCACCTAGAAATGCTAACAATACAGGTTAGTCTTAAAAGTGTCTGGGGACACACAAGTGCTGGTATTGTACTGTGGGGGAAAAAAAAAAATTGAATGTGGGCAGCAGGACCTGACTGTGTTAGACACTACAGACTGGTTCATGTGTATGGCTTTCCTGGGTAGGCCCCAAAGACCAGTACAGTGGTAATCATTGTGTTGATCTTGAGATTCTACATTTGCTGTAGGTTTTTAAGCCCTTGCTATCTACGACAGGCCATTCTGTGTCACTGAACACTTTATGGTGAGGATAGTTTGACTTTGATTGCTCTCTCCTATAAGCTGGCCCTCATTCCCAATACTAAACTACATTCTAAGCAGACTCTTACTGCCCTGAGCCTGAGCAGTGTTCATATTGCTTAGGTGTTAACCAGCATCTACAGCAATGCTGTACCTGTCACAGACCTGATAAAATAATTTTATTTTTTTTTGTCCCGGGTCGGCATGCAAACTTAGTATGGCATGTGTAAGCTTGACCTTTCAGAGGATGCTGGGACAGCTGCACAATGTAAGCTCTCAGACCAGGGAGTGAACAGAAATCTACAATAAACTAGAGGAAAAGGCGCTAACCCAAATGAATGTAACTACAATCAGGGGAAAAGCAGCCTTTCAAAAGTGTACGAACACTATAAAATCAAATAAATCAAGGACGCAATGCCCATTGGTATTTATTACTCTACAAAATCACAGTGCATAATTACAAATAATGTCTAATCTCACAACATAATCAAGCAAATAACATAAAGCGTCCATTCAAAATAGATAGCTCATGAATATCACTCTCCTTTGCCGTGTGCCCAAATCCAGTGAAGATAAAAAAAAATCCAATATTCATCCACCATGTGCGGTAAGATAGGCAACCTACCAGATGATCACCATTGTGAGCATAATATATATTCCCAAAGGTGATGTCATCAAATTGGAAAACGCTCAGAACTCAACAACCTCTTTGGGGTAACTCTCTTGTAATACATGGGATGCCACCATAAATATACTCGAAAAAAGAAAAAAAAACATTGCTCCCATAGTGTAATCAGATTATTAAAAATTGAAAAGTAATGATTAAAAGTGCACTCTCATGACTGCCTGCCCCAAGGCACTCCAACACGGCACGGGATAGATAACAAAACACCGTACACCGCCGCTCACTGCATATGAGCCAGCGTGTGTTCCAAGGGAAAAAAAAAATGCACCCCACCGGAAATGGCGTACAGAAAGGACTGGAAGTGACGACAGCGGCCAGGACTCAATGCATTTCACAGAATTGCGTCATCAGGAAGCTCCGCTTTGGTTCCTGATGATCCATTTTACGAAATGGATTGAGGCTTGACCGCTGTATACATTTTGGTGGATTGGATTCTACCTGTGGAACGCACGCCGCAATTGGGTGCCTTGGGGCACACTGTCAGTTAAGTGCACTTTTAATCATTCCTTTTCCATTTTTAATAATCTGATTACACTATGGGAGCAATATTTTTTCTTATGAGTATATTTATGGTGGAATCCCATTACAAGAAAGTTACCCCAAACAGGTTGTGTTGACTTCCAACAGTTTTCCAATTTGATGACATCACCTTTGGGAATATATATTATGTTCACAATGGTGGGCATTTGGTAAGTTGCCTATCTTACCGCACGTGGTGGATGAATATTGGATTCTTTTTTTATCTTCACTGGATTTGGGGGCATGGCCAAGGAGAGTTGGCATATGCAGTGATCTCAATATATCTGTTTTTGAATGGATACTTTATTTATGTTACTCGCATAATATTGGTGTCTGTTTATCATGCAGCGGTAAATGACTACTGCTGAGTTCTCTGGCATTCTCAGAGGAGAGCGCTCTAGAAAACGGAGAACTCTAAAAAAATGCCTGCTGCTACTGTAATCTCACAAGATTTATTATTTATTTACAGTGCGATTTAAGATCAGTCAAACACACAATTTATTTAGGCAGCGGTAAATTACTGCTGCTTCGCTGTACCCCATTAGGGTTTGGGAGAGGCGGGGGCTTTTCCACGTTCTTGGGGGCTCTGATTGAGGAAGAAGTCAACAATCTTCTGCCTTCCTCCTCACTTCTCCCAGGATTCACTCTTCTCTCACAGATTCTCCACCTCTGGGCTGGAGAATCTGGAGGGAGAATTTTCACACCGATTACCAGTGAAGGGCTGACATCATTCCTTCATACACTGGTCGTTTCTGTATGAAACAGATCATCTCTGCTGATCATCTCAGCACAAACTACTAATGTACTGAGATCCACTGATCTCAGTTTCATAAACTGACAGCTATGTTGTGAGATTTACATTATCTGTAGTTATGCACTGTATAAGTATAAATATCAGTGGGAATAGCACCCTTGCTTTGTTATTAGACAGAACTCTACATCTTTGTTCATTAGTTATACAGGGAAGCAGCCGAGTTGGGCAGGGTTGATAGGATTATGCCATTATTAAAGAACCCGTGCTTATCCTTTTTAAACCGCCTCTCAGCTTACGGCTGACCCTAAACAAGCCTTACCAGGAGAACTTGGTAGTGAGACATTTCTGCCTGTTTTTTTTTTTTTTTTTCTTCCATATACAGAGTCCTGTGAGAACACCAAATAAAAATCCAAAATCTTTGATAAAAGCATTGGATCACAAACACAGAACATCAACACATTTGTGGAATATTAAACATAAGTTCCCCCTGATGATTACCTGTTTAAGCCCTGAATATGGGGGAGGCTGGTCTTTGTTGTCATTTTGTAAACCAATACCCATAAAGGTTTTGGACTCTTGGATTGTTTGGGGCCCTCACTACACATGAATCTCTAAATCTGGACCCCTTAGGGGTACCATATTTTCTTTAGCAAGAGCTGCTTCACCAGAGCTATTGTACTCTATGACATCTGACTAGTCTTCTGATCATTTGAATCCAGTGCCTTATCTCAATTTGTTCCAGACCATCACGCATCTTTGATTCTTCCCCCAGGCCTGGATATCTAGGATCATATTCTAATGAATGGGTGGATGTGGTACAAAGTAAAATTCTCCTTCCCTTTCCTCAATAGAAAATACAATTATTTGCAGCAGTTTATAAGTTTACAAGATATTGTAACATTTTCTACATAGCCCAGCTGACACCTTAACACAATGTCTTCATCCTGCACAGATTTCCATCTACCTTTGTGGGCAATGCAGATACCTTGTCTCCACCTCTCAGCACCTCACCACCAGCTGCCACTCTACCGCTGCTCCAAGCCGTGAGCCCTAATCCTGCGGACGGGACCCTCAACCCATGTGAGGTGAAGCCACCTGCCAGCGGTACACGTAAAGCCAGGGTTCTATACGATTACGAGGCAGCAGACAGTAGCGAGTTGGCACTAAAGGCAGATGAGGTAAGCCAAGGACCATAGCTTGCATTTCTTCCCAAAGCATTTTCCCTGTATACATCACCAGTCGTTTGTTCCCTTTTCAGTTAATAACCGTTTACAGCCTCCCTGGCATGGACCCAGACTGGCTCATTGGAGAACGAGGGAACCAGAAAGGAAAAGTACCAGTTACCTACCTGGAGCTCCTCAGCTAGACTAGAGTTACAGATGTGCAGAATCTCTCGACAAGCCAATTGCCCCTAGGGGCTGACTCATTGCGCCGAGGCTGCTGCTGCTTCAAATCCCAGTTCATCTGTCGTTGCAAGTTCCCCTTTTCACACAGCCCTCCTTGTAACTGATCAGCCTCCAGTTTTAATGACTGAGCAGCACAGATGTAGTTAACTGCCTCACACTGTGCATTACTAAACCTTAGTCTGCTGTTCAGGGAATAGCTCACAGGCTGTTCACCTTTCATGACCAAACTGGCTTGCGCTAAAGTCCCAGATGTCAAATTTCCCAAAGCACATTACCAATGAAGCCGCAAGCCAAGATGGCAGCAGCTTCCACAGTGCTGAGTCACCGGTGGTTGATGAGTCCCCCAACATTTTCTTATTTACAGTCACAGTTGAGTTCTGTACATTTGAGATTCCTGCTACTATAAAAATTCTCTTTGTGGGGCATGTTTGGTTTTCAGAATTTTCTTGTAGTACAAAAAGGAAAAAAAAAAAAAAAAAAAATCACTTTAGCACCACTATGCAGAGAGAGAATGTATTGGACAGGAACTATTCTGTGACTTTCTCTGTCCCTTTTAGAGCCAAGCCATCTTTATACTCATTCCTTTGTATCAATAGTTCCCCTCTGTCCCCAGTTTTTACAAAGAGGTGGCTGTGGACTGGCATACAGTAGAGGAAACCATATTGTGTTCCTTTCAAATCAGATGTATATCCTTGAAACAGACATTATATAATAGTCCTGATATTACAAATGACTGCCATACCTGTGTGCAGTCGTGGGATACTCTTTAAAGAGGACATGTCATATTGTAAGAGATGGTGTTGGAAGAGTTTTATGTTGTATAAATAGATGGTTCCCGACTCCTTATCATATCAATTGTTAATCTTGTTCAGGTAGGTTTACTCAAGCTGCTGGAAGAAGGTCTGTAGCAAGTGTTTTTTTTTTTTTTTTTTTTTCTTCCCTATGTCAGACTTGCAGAAACTGTACCTTCCGGTGTCAAACATGAGGCAGGATATGTGTTGCAGGGACAGTCAACTGTCTGTTCCTATGTAATAATAGGAGCTTTGTTTGCTGGAAAGTGGAGGCAGTACACCCTTTGGTCATTTTTTTTAAGGAAACCCCTTCCTTAAATGTTCAGATGAATAAAGTTGTTTTGGCTAAAGCACACTGTTGACTAACATCACAGAGCTGCTCCAAACTCTGGAGGGATCCTGACAATGTCGGGATCCACCTAGATGCTTCCATGCAGCTGGCTCAGCCTCTCAGCACATTGCTGAAAGCATGAGCCAGCTGATTCCTCCCCAGCCTGGCATTCCAAGTGTTCTTATAGGTGGACACAAGAACTGAGCAATCAGGAGCCAGCAGCAGAGAGGGGTATGTATGTTAAGGGTTTTTTTTTTAAATTCACATTCCCACATTTCTCCTTTTTAATAAAAGGATTTCTGGTCCATTTACTATACCATGAATGAACTAGAAAAATGTTTTTGGTTTTTTTTTTAATTCTCCTGCACTTGATTGATATTCAAAGTAAACATGGCTTCACTAGGCTAAGTTAACAATCCCTCCTTTAGTAAAAGCTAGGGATGCACTGATAACTCATCTTTTCACGAGTAATTGTGAAAATGCTCCCAATTTATTTCCTGTGTGATTTGTGTCCATACAGAATGTATGGACACAAATTGCACTGCAAAGAATGGCATACAATTCCCCAGTGCTCTGGTGTGAACCCAGGCTTGTCACACAGGAGTGTGTGGGGAAACCCCCCCCCCCCCCCCCCCCCCCCCCCCCCCGCACCGATTCCATACTGTCACAGAAGTTTAAAGCTGACTCAATCCCTACGGCTCTCTCTTCTCAGTGCTGGGATGACAGTACAGGCTAGACTGCTTTGTTGCATAGGATCTATGCAATGAGGTTCCCGCACTGCTCCTGTGTGACAAGTCTGGGTTCACACAGGAGTAGAGGGAAACCACATGCGATTTAGAGAGGAATTGCATTCCTGTTCAAATCATACCACAAAGTATCAGTACTTCGTATCGGCGAGTACTGACCCAAAAGTATCGGTACTTGTGCTTGCCAATCAAAAAAGGGTATTGGTGCATCCTGACTACAAGCACTACCTCTACATATCATTACAGGGAGAAATCAAAACATGATACATAGACACAGCTCCTCCCAGAGGCTAATCTACTTTTTTTTTTTTTTTTTTTTTTTCCCCCCCCCCAGTACAATCCTTGCAAAATGACAGGTCCTCATTAAAGTGCACCTAAATTCTATTTAGAAAATGTTAAATGATACTTTAATTTCCTTTCAGAGTTTAAATGTCATTTTTATAGGAACAAGGCTGTTCAGACTGGAATCTTTGGTCAAATTACTACTCTGCCCGGGAGGAACAGACAATGCATTTAGTGAAATAGAGAGACCTTTAAATTCAAATAGTTGTCTCCCGTACTCCAGAAGAACTATGTGCAGCTCACATGATCCAGTCAGAATCTGACAAACAGTTCTTCCTTCAGAGACACTTCAGTCAGAGGACCCACTATTGTCTATCCTATTGTTAGCTGAGATGTATTTTCTTATTATTGTGCACTGGTCTCCAGTGCTGCAAAAGGTGTTTTGTTACAACACAAAATGGCTACCGTACTGTCAAGGCCAGACTCTCTCCAGCATTTCTGGGTCTGTTATGTTCCAGACTTTTCTATGAAGGTGTAGGTATACCAAAAGGCCCACCACTTCACACATAGGTAATGAGTTCTTTCTTTTATTCTTGTGTGTTATTTATTGCCTGTCTGCATTTACTGTCTGTGTTTGATTAGATATAATAATAAATTAAGTCATTCCTGCATAACAGGTCAGTGTCATTTTTCCCTCAGCAAAGACTGGTCCGAATGCAACATGTTAACAAGTTTCTTTTACTTTCAGTATAAATAGGATGTCAAAAAAATACAAGTTGTCTTCAAGAAAAGAAAAGGAAAAAAAAAACCATCATACAAAAAGAAAAATGAAGGGCACACTGGCATGGGAGTGTCAAGCTCTGCATGCAATGACACCACGTGCAGTCACTGTGGAAATAGTTGTTGGATGTTCCATGAGGCAGTTTCATCTCCTTCCCCACAATGGGAATTTTCAGTAGGGGGCAGTGCACAACACAGCAACCAGTTTCACCATCTTTGCCAATCAGTTTGGTTGCTGTGTTACTTAATTCTGCACCACCTATGCTTGTATGCTCACAGATGTATACATGAATGTGTGGGGGTGGTAGCCGTGTGATAGGCACTGACCTTACAAAGATGCTTTATGGTCTTCTTGGTTAATATACCTGTAACAAACAGTTTGGTGGTAGCTGTCTAATGGTTGTGGTCCATGAACAGGGTCAATGAGTTTATGTACACTCTTTAAACAGTCTTCAATGATTCCTATCTCTGTACATGTCGTATAAATGCTTGCACCAGCTGGATTATTGGCTCCTGGGCTTCAGGAGCTACCTTTAAGGACGTTCCGGCTTTTGGCTGTGGGGAAGGCAAGTGGCCAGCTGCAGGAGAGGAAGTGACACCGCGGCGCATGTACCGTGCTAGGCTGGAGACCAGAGTGCTCTGAAATGAAAGGGGAAAAAAAAAGAATGATTATACAGGTATGAGTAACCACTCTTTGCAAACAATCATTGGCGGTATTAGCTACCCTTAGGAGGATGCACACAGAACAGAAGCAGCCTGGTTTAACTGTCATTTATTATTATTATACAGGATTTATATATTATTTAAAAACTAGTTGTATTCATTTCTTCCACATATACTGTTCAGCTTCTCAGTTCTTGAAATTGTAACTCCAGTAAAAACTAGGGTGCAGAAGAGTCAATTCCTTTTTCTGATTTATTTCCACAATGGGTGGATTCACACTCCATGTAGGTACCAGGAGGAGTACGGCCAGTCTGTGCTATGGGCAAACAGACTGCAAATAAACTACTATGGAAAGGTCACATGACCTGTCTGCCTTAATTGTTGGGGGAAATGTCCTACCTGGAGACAACCCAGCACTAAAATCCAGACAGATGTTTTAACCCATTCCCACTCTACTCAAAAATGGCCAGAATAAAAAATATAATCCATTTTCAGACGTTTGGGGTTCTAGAGGTGATTTATAGATTGTTCTGTTTTGTATTCTGCAACAATGACTGCACGGGGTGTTTTTACCTCTTTCACTGCTTGCTGCAAGTACTGTTTCACAAGTACTAACACAACATCTGCAAATTGTTAAAAAAAAAAAACAAACAAACATACTTTTGTGTTAATGTACGTTGTTTTAGAAAAGTAGGATGCTGAGGTATGTCCCCTCATATTTCATCCCTCAACCCTTCTGCTTCTCCTAACCTCTGGAGCTATATCCCCAAACCCTAGGCCTCCTTTATTTAACTATACTCAATGCACCCATCACCACACCTTCTGGCAGCAGCCACAACCTACACAATTTTGTTTCCTTTCTTCTTCCCAAAACCTGTTTCCCGTTCTCCTCTATCCAGTGAAATGCCCGCTCAGTCTGTAACAAACTCACCTCTGTTCCTGACCTCTTTGTCACCAACTCCTTTTATCTACTTGCTGTCACTGAAACCTGGCTTCATGAATCCAACACTGCTTCTCTCCCATGGTGGCCTTCTCTGGATTAACTCCCCCAGACTCAGTGGATGCAAGGGAGGTGAAGTGGGAATCCTCCTATCCCCACAGAGCACCTTTCAGGTTTGGTCTACAATAAGATCCCTATCCTCCACCCCCTGGGCAAGCTAGGCCCTCTCACTACACACATAATCAGGCCATGACCCCTACAACCCTGGCAAACAGAAGTCTAAAAAAAAACAGGTAAGTGCTCAAAGACTTCAATCAATATAAATCTGCCCTCCAAAAATACAATTCTTGCCTCCACACTGCCAAACAGACCTATTTTAGCACTCGCATAGACAACACCTCATCCAGTTCCTGTCAACTCTTCTCTATCTTTAACTCTCTACTTCGTCCTTCACTGCCTCCCCCCACTAGTTCACTCACTGTTCAGGAGATCGCCAATCACTTCACAAATAAGATTGATACAATTCATGGTGAAATCTCCGCTGTAGAGATATCCCCTCACTTAACACCCCATGTCCACAGCTACACTCAATCCTACTACTATAGACAAGGTTGCTAAGCAGGGGTTTTTTTTTTCTCTCCTTTTCTAACATCCACCTAACCACCTGTCCTCTGGGCCCTATTCCCTCTCAAATACTACCATCACCCTCTGACTCTATCCTACACTCTCTAATGCAGGCCACAGACGGGCTGTTTATTGGCCACACTGTTGGCCGATAAACGAAAAATAGGTTGTTGCTGCCATTTATACTGCCACCAATGCTTAAGAAAAACGTCCGCTTTTTGTAGATTTTCCAGCATGACCGATAAAAAGAAACGAGAAGATCCGCCGACGGCATTGCCCCAATAACAGTGTGAATATCGGCCGATTTTTTCGGTCAGACGAAAATGCGGCCAATAAACGACCCGGTCTATGGCCTGCATAACTCACATCTTCAATTTCTCCCTCTCTTCTGGCATCTTCCCTCTCTAAAACACATCAGTCACCTCCATACTTTAAAAAGCCCTGACTGGACCCCACCAGTCTCAACAACCTACATCCCATCTCCTTGCTCCCCTTTTTTCTCCAAACTCCTTGAATGCCTGGTCTACAACCAAGTAACCACCTCATTAAGAATAACCTTCTTGATCCCCATCAGTCTGGATTTAACCCTCAACACTACACAGAAACTGCTCTCCTAAAACTCACAAACGAGTTACTAACAGAAAAAAAACAATGAACACAATTCTATACTCCTACCTCTGGACCTTTCGGCTGCCTTTGATACAGCTGACCACCCCCTCCTCCTCCAAAAAAAAAAATGTTACTCCTTTGGTCTCCATGACTGTGCTCTTCATTGGTTCTCATCCTACCCACCGCACCTTCACTTACAATTCTACTTCCTCTTCCTTTCCTAGTTGGGGTTCCCCAAGGTTCTGTTCTTAGACCTTCCCTATTCTCAATCTAAACCTCCTCCCTGGGTCAGCTGATAGCTTCCCAAGTCTTTCAATATAATTTTCTACACTGAAGACACCCAAATCTATCTCTGTACACCTCAGCTCACAACATCAGTCTCCTCACGCATCACTAATATACTGAACGATATATCAGTCTGCGTTTGAGGAAATGGTGTGACATCCAATCTATCCAAAACTGAGCTCCTAATCTTTCCTCCTCCCAAATGCTCATTCTCCTGACTTCTCTGTCAAGATCAATGGCACAACCATCAACTTGTCTCTGCATGCCAGGGTGCGAGGTGTATTCTTGGACTCTGAACTCTCCTTTCGACCCCACATCTAATCACTTTCCAAAGCTTGCCACCTCAACCTCCAAAATACACCCCTTCCTAACCAATGACACCACAAAGTTCTTAGACCACTCCCAGGTTATCTCTGGCTTACTTTATATAGGATCCCCCTTCAGTCCATCATGAATTCTGCTACCAGACTCATCCACCCTACCAACCGTTAAGTATCTTCCACCCCTCCACTTAACAACTGTACTTTTATTTTCTCCATCAGTCCACCCCACACATTACTTTTCCTTTCACTCACCCCTTCGCTTTTTGATTGTAAGCTTTAATAAACAGGGCCTACTAATTCCTCCTGTATTGAATTGTATTCCAACTGTACTGTTTGCCCTCACATTCTAAAGCACTGCGCAAACTGTAGGTGCTATATAAAAAAACAACAACAGGGTACAGTGCAACAACATGGAAGGGTGGAATGTCAGATCTGTTGGTTGATAAAAATAAATTTAGTATGCCACAAAAAGACATAACTAGCCTCAGAGCTATCAACAAGCTGATGATTACAAAAGAAAGCTAAATGTATGTTTCCCAAATATCAGTTTATTATCAAACAATTCATTTATGTACTCTTCATACCAGTTCAGAGGCAAGCTCCTGCTTCATTCGCTGTTTGTCTCGAGGATGGACTGATGGATCACGGAGATAACGCAGGGCTTGTGAGATCAACAGGTAGAAACAGTTCTCGATGATAAATAGCAGTAGAGGCCTGGTAGAAACAGGAAGCAAAACAAAATCAAAAGCTTGGATTTGTTTTTCTTATTTTTAAAAAGGTACATTTTTGTGGGATCTTGTGAAGATTGTTGCAGACATAACCTGTGAAGTTACAGCTACTGGTCGGTTCCAACCATTGAAACACATTTCTGAGAGCATGCAGCTTCTTTTGCAAGAAGCCAACTGCATCTTGTGGTCACAAAAGGCACTGCTACTGTTTACAATATGGGTAAACATAATAAACATTTGCTGACCCACTCACAGTAAATCTACTGCATGCAGGGGCAAGTGCAGGAACATATACAGTGAAGGAAATAAGTATTTGATCCCTGCTGATTTTAAATGTTTACCCACTCACAAAGAAATGATCGGTCTAAAAATCGAATGGTAGGTGTATTGTAACACTGAGAGACAGAATAGCAACAAAAAAATTCAAAAGAAATGCATGTCTAACAAATTGATGCACTGATTTGCATGTTCATGAGGGAAATAAGTATTTGATCCCCTATCGTTCAGCAGGATTTCTGGCTACCAGGTGTCTTACATACAGGTAACAAAATGAGATTAGCAGCACTCCATTTAAAAGACACCTGTCCACAGGAGCAATCGAACAATCAGATTCCAAACTCTCCACCATGGCAAAGACCAAAGAGCTGTCCAAGGATGTCAGGGACAAGATTGTAGAACTACACAAGGCTGGAATGGGCTACCAAACTATCACCAAGCAGCTTGGTGAGAAGGTGACAACAGTTGGTACAATCATTCGCAAATGGAAGAAACACAAAACAACTGTCAGTCTCCCTAGGTCTGGTGCACCATGCAAGATCTCACGTCGTGGAGTGTCAATGATCATGAGAACAGTGAGGAATCATCCCAGAACTACACGTGAGGATCTTGTCAATGATCTTCAGGCAGCTGGGACCACAGTATATACACTTATTGGGTTTTGTTTTTTTAACAAAGACATGTAGCAGAATACAAGTTTACAAAGACTGATCCCCCCCAACATTTTGTTTTATATAATTAAAAAAAACAGTGGTGATCAATTTACCCCCAAAAGAAAGCTCTACTTGTGGGAATAAATTGATATAAATATAATTTGTGTACAGTGTTGCATGACTGCCAGATAAAGTAGCACAGTGGCGAATAGCGGAAAAAGAATGCCCTGGTCATGAAGGGGGTAAAACCTTCCAGAGGTCAAGTGGTTAAATATGTTCATTTACAGGTTCAAGGGTGGATGTTAGATAGTTCACATCACCAGGTAAAGGATTAAAAGAAAGCCTCACTAGCCCATTGAAAATTTGCAACAAATACAAAGCCTGATTCACTTTGCACAAAGTCTGATAATTTTCCGAACTGTACTTGGAGCTCACCTGAGGTTCTTGCTTTCTTCTGATAGGCTGAGGGAAGATGCAGATGGAAAAGGTGGATCTTTCTTCTTATCCATCTATTAGATGAAATTGGTCACAAGTGTTAGACCAGTGCAGCCACTGTTGGGTCTACAGATGCAGCGGTACAGAGAAGAGTGTGAATCGCTTGTCATGCCTCACCTCTCCCAGCATGTTCAGCATCACATTGACAGTAGCTAGGAAGGTCCCGAATGAAGGTGCCACATCTGCGTCAAAAGCAGGAGTACTGAAGTTCAGGGCTAATAGCATCTGATATTGTGAGAGGTCCAGAGGCTGGGAACAGATAAAACTAGGTATTTATTCCAAGTCACTTTGATAACATACACAAGATCGAATTAATTCAAAACGGCAATTCACACTGACTTGCACTAAAATGTATACAAAATGCATGTACATTTCCATCCATTTCAGTCGCGTGCTAACTTCTATTGACATGCAATATAAAGAACAGTAAAGCATACCGCATTTTCACAGGCTATCTTGTGACATGACATCCTGTGTCTGGAGAGGAGTGTGATGAGGGAAGACATATCGTATGTGGAGAATTGTGTGGATTTGTGCTCTGTTTTTTGTGACAGGATGTTACTGTGATAGTGCTAGCTATACTGAGGAGATGACGTATGAGGAGATTGCTGCAAACAAGGCAGCGCTATTGGGTCCATCCATTGCTGTTATATGTGAAAGTTAAGGGTGGTTTTGAATGTTGTCACCTGGAAAAATTATTTGATTATACATGGATATCCATTGCTAGGTAAGTGTGTAGGCTCAGGGTCAAGTGAAGGTTCAAGGGCCATAGGTCCAGTCAAGAGTCCTACAGCAAATTTTTTTTTTTCTGTTAGCATTGTGTTGCATTGACATCTGTTGGGCTTCGCTAAAATGCACATGTTGAGGGGGTATCTGTTGGGGGGTAGAGATGAAGAAGTAGTTGTCATGTTTCCACTGTGGTGATTTTTTCATCCCATATCCTGTTCCCCCTACTTCTAGTGGAAACACACACAGAAATTTTGTAACTCTTTCCCAGAAGGAAAACGCTTGATTGGAGTGCCCCTTTAACTCCTTTGTGTTGAGAGTATGCAAATATGCGACCTCTAGGTGGGTAGGTCTTGATGCTGAGAGGCTGCATATTTGCATACCCAAATGTGAACAAACCTGTGCTGAAAACATGTGCCCTGCGTGCTCCCATCACAGTTATTGGGGCCTAGCACCCGCAGTCAGGAGCTTTCTGATCAAATGACTGCGCTTTGACAGCCAATCATGGCGGTCAGATGATCATAAACCCTGCCTCCCAGCATAAGAAACCCCTTAAAGGGCCGGGAGGGGCAGCATTAAGGGGTTATTAAGGGTTACCACTTTAATGCTAAACATTCAATCAAACCTTTAACCCAACCAGTAATTACTAAATTGCTCCCTACGGTCTCATAATAAATATTAATCCTGATTGGATGTCACTATTCTTCATTCAACATGCCTGACCTGCAGAATCTGGCTGAGATCCGGTGTGAAAGCTCGCAATGCAGACAAGGTCTTGCTCAGGATCTTCAGGAGGCTGAACTGAACAGACCGCAATGCTCTTAGCTCTAGGGCCTCACTCTCAGGTGTCGGCTGTACGGAGGGAGTCTGTGGAGTGCGCTGACCTCGAGAGGCCGTGCCTGATGCTACTGCTTCCCCACTTTTTATCTGAAGACAGAAGATTTCCATTAGATGTAGAAGGTTCCCAAATGCTGATCTAGACATTTCCTGTGATACTCACCTGTAAATAATGTTGCAGCATCTTTCGGCTGTACAAAAGGGATGTGCAAGACTGGCACAGATAACATAAACTGACCTACAATAAAAGAAAGAAATTCATATAAACCAACTTTTTTATTAATAATTTATTAATTCAGTTATTTAAAGTTGTCATATGTCTCAGTGCATTGAATTTCTGAATGCGGCCAGGTTGTCACATGCTGCTGCACCTGTGAACCGTATTTATGTGTCTCCTCACCTGGATGTCCTTCATAAACTGCGGTAAGTGGAAATGCCATTCTTTGATGAAATTAGACAGCTGCAGCAGAAAACCTACAGTGTGGTCAGCCTCCTCCAGACAGGCCAAATTCTGCACAGTACGTACTGCACTCAGGCACTGGGGAAACACAAATGTAAGAAGGACACCTCTTCACAATCAAGCATAGAGAAGAAAAACTAAAGGGCAAAAACATACTTTGTGGAATGAGAGAATAAAGCACACACTTGATACATAGTTAGTCTGGCTGAAAAAAGACAAAAGTCCATCCAGTTCAACCATTAAAAAAAAAAAGTTATAATCCTATACCCACAATTGATCCAGAGGAAGGCAAAAAAAAAAAACCCAGCAAAGCATGATCCAATGTGCTCATGCAGGGGAAAAAAATTCCTTCCTGATCCCGAGAGGCAAATCGGATATTCTCTGGGTCAACTTTACCTATAAATGTTAGTGTCCAGTTATATTCTGTGTATCTAAGAGAGAATCCAGGCCTTTTTTAAAGCAATCCACTGAGCTGGCCAGAACCAACTCTTGAGGGATGTCATGGCTTTATCATTCTCTTGACAAAAGCAAACACTGTTCTCTAGATTCAAATGTTTCCATAAAAGATGAACAGCAGACTTCATGCCAATAAAAAAAAAAAAATTAGAACTTAAAAGATCCGTCCATTCAGAGGTGACAGTCACTTGTTCATGGAACCTGGTGAGCTTCATATATTAAAAATTATAATTATATTATGAGGAAAAACCAGCAGCCATTTTTTCCCTGCCATAGTTCTTTGCTCGGTTTTAAACAACCTGGAGGTTACATGCATTCCAGGCCATCTTTCAAAGTTCCCATTGCTCATTGCTATTCCCAAAATACAGCGGGCTAGGGATCTTCACAGTTTGAAAAGGACACAGCCGTGCAGGGCTGCATCATTAATTCGCAGAACCCTGTCTACAAGTACCAACAGCCTTTACTGCCAATGGCTTGCAGTTCCCAAAGAACTACAAGGGAGCCAGTGAGCATCCTCATAGTTCAGTGAATGTTTCTGGACTGAAGTAACTGCCTGCCCGTATTAATGGTATGGGTAACCAGCTACACTGACAGTCTGCAGGAGCAAGACATTGCATTCACGATCTGCTGAGCATGGGTACAATGCTTTACAGGCTCCTAAGAAAAAAAAATATTAAATGCATATTTTTTTGCAGGTAAAAAAATGTGCATTTGCTAAGGTTTGAACTTAACCTTTCAAAACTTCAAACATAAAAAGTGGACTTTATAACGATGTCGTCTGGTCACATTCCCTTCCCCAGCTCACAACTGGATAACAAAGGATAGGCAATAGACTGATTGGCTCATCCCTCTACTCTTGCTTTAATTAACAGGTTACTTGCCAGGCTATGTGCATGCAGCACACTTCATTGACTTCCAAAGCTGCTTTTTCCATCTCCCAGCTTTACAGGGACATACAAGAGGCTGATGCTGAGCAAAATGTAGGTACTTATAACAGCCGAACCTAAATATATATCTAATGATATTTTAAAGCCCAACTCCAGCCAAGCTTTTATTTCATAGTGGCTAGAGTGGTGATCTCCAGGGTTACAGCTTCTGTCATGCTATGTCCCTATTATTTCCTGTAAGCTGTAATGGGGAATGCCTCAAGCGGACAAGGACAAAGACATGTAACAGTAAAACGGGGGAGGGGCAGAATTTCTGACAAAGCAGACAGGTTTAACATGCACAGCAAAATATGGGACAATCTTCCCAATAAGTAAAAAAAAAAAACAAAAAACCTGATAATGTGTGGAACTTTTCTCACTCAGTACATCCAAAACAAAAAAAATGGAGAAGTTGACTTTAATTAACACAGTTTTTGCTTCTCTTAGTCACTGACCTGGAACAATCATGTTCATATTAGGTGTCCAGCACCTGACATGCACATTTGTTACAGGGTAGTGACTCACAATATAGTGAAGAAAGGATAAGGATGACAGCCGTGGACCATCCACCTTAAGCTGCCACTGATTACTTTTTTAATGATCGTGCCGCCATTCTATTACCTGCAATATTCTCTCTTGGTGAACTCCTACAAAGTCTAAGGCCTCTGTTAGGAAGTTGTATCTCAAAGTCTTCAGCAATCTCTCCATCAGGGTTATGGTCAATCTGTATACACCGGGCCATGATGGAGCATCCAGAATTTTACGTGATGATAGTGGGGTCTGTACCTTTGAAAAGAAGGAAGAACATTAAAAACAGCTTAAGACCCCTTTCACACATTGAAACAAAAACCATATATAAATTATGCATTTTTGTTGCCTTTTCTGGTTGCCTGACTTCAATCATTCATCTTTGAAATATGGACATGTGACTTAAAAAGCATACCGATAAGGCAGCAGCAGTGAGTTTTTGATGCGCGTTTTCCATTCACTTCAATGGAGAGGTGCTTTTCGGTGATTTTTTATACAGCACCAAAAATGCAGGCTGCAAGACTTTTAAAAACGCAACCGACCCACAGCACATTAGTGGGATAGGATTTAAAGGGATACATTTTTCATCCATTTTTGTACCACTTTTTAAAGAACAAAAGTGCATCAAAAACTGATCAGTGTGAAAGAGGTCCAGCATTGGGAATGCTTTCTTCCACCAAGTGAGAGGAAAGCTAAATTCAGCTGATAATGGCCTATCATCATTTGACATTAATACATGCCTATCATAGTTTACTTTTACCCCTCTGTCAGCTTACTAATCCATGAAGTTCCAGCTCACATCAGTGTGGGATTACTGGTACAGCACACCTTTCCCCCACATGAAACAGCACAATGCTTCAGTACAGCAAGTTTACATAAACTAAATCCTGCATCTACCAGCCTATAGGAATGAACTACAAGATGGAGCATGGATATATTGCCAAGACTCTGTAAGGTGACTCCAAGGGGAACGGTACAAGACAGTTGAGGACACAGGACAGAAGGATCTAGGGAAAGAGGGAGGACGTGGATGGACAGCACAGATACTGAGTCCAGAGAGGCTCTGGCAGGCAATACAAGGTTGAATTACCAAATGTGGGGGCCAAGATGTAAGATGGACTAAGAAGAGATTTTAAGTACAAATTTTTTGCCAGCAATTTGGGGATACAGTGCCCTTGTGGTATAACTTGGAGTAAGTTCTAACTGGGAGATGTAAAAATAAAAATAGGATAACACAATTTGATTTTTTCACAATGGACCATAAAAAGCACACAGTGATAAAGTGCTGTGAAATGCTATTCCAGGAAATTCTGCAGCTTACTACAGGAATTGAGCTTGAAGTGCTGCCAGGGGTAATGTAGGAATGCCAGACTAAAGGCTACAAAACACCCAACAGATACAACAGGTCTACAAAAACGGTTTCACATTTGCCTGTAACATTTTTTAGAAAGGTTCCTTCCAGGTAATATTCAGAATTCCTGAACTTGTTAGCCATTCCATGTGCCACATATACAATTAAGCACAAATCACATCCAGAGATAAAATGGAAGATAACTTGCTAGCTATTAAAACACAATCTATCCTCACCGTGCTCACTCCATTGGAAGTCAGCTGGTAGACGTTCAGCAGAGGAAGGCACACACTCTGAGTGATGCCAGATCCGGCTATAGCTGCTGCCCCCTGTAATTAAAACATGGTATAAATGTCAGAATATTTCTGCGGCTCTGCCACACTTGCTTGTTCATTCCACATCCATTCATTCAACACCTGGGACTTCTCCAAGGAACATCTCCACAGCCACATGGTCAGAAGACAACAATTCAGGAGTATGGCTGTCAGGAATGGACTGGCCAGCAATATTGGGACTCAGCTGCCTTATGAGCTGCAGTACCAGGGCTGGCCAGCGGGTGCTCCCAGCAATCAGAGATTCAACCTTGCAGCCAGTCAAACACCTGGAACTAATTATACTGGTGTATTTAAGGGACATTCAGACCTGCAGACTCTGCCTTGGTGTTGTGTTTCTCTTGGGCCCTGTATCCTGTTCCCGTTCCCAGTTCCTGTCTGATTCTCTGCTGACCCTGCTCTGATCCCTGGCTTGTCTGACCATTCTCCTCTGCCTGACCTCTCTGTACCACGCTGCCCGCTACCTGCTGAACCTGGCTTGTGACTCCGACCATTCTCCACTTGCTCCCCCTGTACCTACCTGCCCGACTGATATTGACCCGGCCTGCCTAACGACGCTTGCATTGTATGTACTGTTATCTGTGGGTGGTTGGTTTGGTTTGTTTGCACTGTGTTATGTTTTAGTATTGCACTGCGTTTATGTTTGTATGGTTAGTGTTAATAAATTACATTGTTTATAACATATCTGAAGTCTGCGTTTCCCTGCGTCAGTCACATACCTCTGGTCATACCCGGGAGCCCTGACAATGGCGTCTCATCTATGAAACACAATCTTGTACTGACAGTAGAAAAGGTTATCTCCAATTTCTGGCTGAAGGATATTTTGCATCTCTGGCTTTGCTGAAAAGTTGCAAATATCAGGGGTATTGGACCCAGTGCTCAGGACCACTGTATATTCAAAAGGACCAATACTGTGCAGATGAGTACTTTATGTAATCGGCCATTTCAGGCTGTGGAGTTTTCAGAAGTAATATTTTTCAACATAACTTACCTTGTAAAACAACCCATTCAGTTTAAAAAAGAAATGAAAGGCAAAACATTTGTTTACAGATATAAAAAACATTATAAATACCCCCTCTCTTTTTTTTTTTTTTTTAAAAAGTGATCACATACCCTCTTGTTCTTAGCTGCATACCCTCTGTTCTTAGCTTGCGAGGAGAAACATCAGCATAACAAGCATTCTAGTGAATGGCTGTGCAGGGGGGACATGACAGGACAAGTCTGATCATTGGAACATAGCAGGCTGAGTTCTCAGCACAGCTAGAGAACTGACCACACTGTTTTCTCATGCCTAATGTGGTCAGTTTTTTATTAGGAGAGCAGAGGGATTGGCAGAAACACCAGGGATTTCACACAAAGGAAGCAATACAAAGGGAACAGGATACGTTTGCATACAAGTACATGGCACAGCAGGCACATATGAGGAATATGAAATGTTTGGTTTATATATTCTTTAAAAGCTATTTTGCTTTGAAAATGGGAGCGATTCTGAAGACCTTAGCGTTCACACTGGCCTAGGCCTCCTCTTTAGCAGAGAACCAAGTGCCTTCATACAAATAGCCAACCTTGAGGAATCTTTAATGAACTGTGTTAGTCTTCAGAGCCCCTTAATTTCCAAGCCTAGGCTGTACAACAAGTTAGTAACTTGTACCCAAGACAATACTTCCTGCCAACAAGTCCAGGCCTGTTCTACCAGTGGCAAATCTAACAGCCTCATTGGCCAGCTCAGGCAATGGCACGCCAGAACTGAATGGAGGATAGTCTTAAAGCACAAAAGTCAAAGTCATATGTACTGCCAGGGCTGTCTGACATGCAACAGGCTCCACAGGGAGTGATCTAGGACTAACACGGAGAATGATCTAGGGCTAGCACGGGGGAATGATCTAGGGCTAGCACGGATAATGATCTAGGGCTAGCACGGGGGAATGATCTAGGGCTAGCACGGGGGAATGATCTAGGGCTAGCACGGGGAATGATCTAGGGCTAGCACGGGGAATGATCTAGGGCTACCTCGGGGAATGATCTAGGGCTAGCAGGGCTACCTCGGGGAATGATCTAGGGCTACCTCGGGGAATGATCTAGGGCTACCTCGGGGGAATGATCTAGGGCTACCTCGGGGAATGATCTAGGGCTACCTCGGGGAATGATCTAGGGCTAGCACGGGGAATGATCTAGGGCTAGCACGGGGAATGATCTAGGGCTAGCACGGTAAATGATCTAGGGCTAGCACGGGGAATGATCTAGGGCTAGCACGGGGAATGATCTAGGGCTAGCACGGGGGAATGATCTAGGGCTAGCACGGGGGAATGATCTAGGGCTAGCACGGGGGAATGATCTAGGGCTAGCACGGGGGAATGATCTAGGGCTAGCACGGGGGAATGATCTAGGGCTAGCACGGGGGAATGATCTAGGGCTAGCACGGGGGAATGATCTAGGGCTAGCACGGGGGGAATGATCTAGGGCTAGCACGGGGGAATGATCTAGGGCTAGCACGGGGGAATGATCTAGGGCTAGCATGGGGAATGATCTAGGACTAGCACAAGCAAAATGCTTACACTTAAGTAGTATTGCTGCTTTAGACAATTTTAGGGCAGTACAAATAGCTCTACTACAACAACAAAATACTGTACCTTGATTATGTAACAGATGTAAAAAACACTTTAATATTTGTTCAGTTACCTTCATATGATACAAATGCCTATACCTGTAGAGAGGACAACTGCAAACACCACTGACCTGGTGAGTCTTAGCCAACGTGAACAAAAGGTGAAGTGCTGCTTCACAGAAGTGGAGGTTCTGCTTGACACGCAGGCTGACTTCCAGTGCGCTGAAGAGCATGGGCAGCATGGGTAACTTTCTGGTCACTTGCAGCCACTGGTCTCCATCTTCATCAGCCTGGCACAGCTCCTTGGCCAAATGTAATGCCAGCACACAAACCTTCATAAAAAAGCAAGATTGGGGTGGTTAATCAGACTGTTTTGTTTACTAAAATTAGAACTAAAAGGAGAAACATTTTATGCCATTTTTGAATAGCAAGGGAAGGTTAAACCTCTGTCAGTTTTTTTTTTGGCAATCTTTGTTCCATTGCATGTATTATAGCCAAAATGAGAGCAAATCCCTCCAAAATGAGGTTGTTACCAGAACTAATGTCCTCATTGCAGTATTTCACTCTAATCCTGTCCTGGGGACAACTGCAAATTTAGCATTTTCTTACGCTCTCAATCTTTTGGGTTATTAACTGTTTCCCGACCGCCCTGTATCAAAAATATTGCTACAGGGGGGCACAGGTGCACAAAATCACGCATATATATACGTGGGTAGGGGGAGTGCGCGCCCTACCCGTGCTGCCGCAGCTGTCATTCACCAGGTCCCAGCCAGTGATTACTCGCTGCTGAGCATCTCTGACGGGGAGAACTGTTTGCAAACAAAAAAACAGTTCTCCTCCCTGTCAGCTCAGGCACACTGCTTTGGATGGCTGTGCCCAGTGTCATTAGTATAGTGTCAGTGCTTTTAGCACTGATCACTGTATTGGTGTCATTGGGGATGTCAGTGACACCACGTCAGTTCCCCCCCCAGCGTCAGAATGCCCGCCGCAGTCCCGCTATAAGTCGCTGATCAATGCCATTACTAGTAAAAATTAAAAAAAAATAAATTCCAGTATCTATGCCGCCATTGTAAACGCTATAACTTTCACACAAACCAATTAATTTACACATATTGGGATTTTGTTTTAGCAAAGAAGTCGCAGAATACATTTTGGCTTAAATTTATGACAAAATTTGATTTTTACATTTTTTTTTACTGGAAATGTTTTAATAGCAAAAAGTCAAAAATATTTTTTTTCCCTCAAAACTGTCAGTCTTTTTTTTTTGTATAAAGCAAAAAATTAAAACCCGCACAGGAGATCAAATACTACTGATAGAAAGCTCAATTTGTGTGGGAAAAGAAAGGCCGTAAATTTCATTTGGGTGCACACTCTTAGTAGGTGCGTCTAGTTCTTAAAATTCCTCTAGGGTTGATGATATCCAATTGATATTAATATTGCTTTTTATTATTCACATTGCAGCACTGCCCTATCAGTACCAACCAGCAGGCAATCTTGTTGACGGTGCATTTGGGCGGGACCCCTTCAGGAGGCGTTTGGGCAGCATTTTTCATCCACTGGTCTCAGTTTATTCTTTATTAATTTTTGTTTCATAATTTTTGCCTGAGATATATGAGAAATCCGTGGCTGTGTTCACATAACAGTTGGTTCTTAATACTTCCTGGCGGTTTTTACCTCACATGGAATCATGTAAGTGTATAACCATATTGTAAAGTATCAAATTGTACACAATAATTTGATTGCGTCATGTATATTGATATATATATGTTTGTTATAGACATCATGCCTTTTTGAGCACTTCTGAAGAAGAGATTTTTGTTGATCTCGAAACGAGTCAAGTACGAACCATGCATGATCCATGATTAGATTTGCAATACCATCTCTGATGAGACCGCTGCAATATGTATTGTAGCTTTATATTTATTTTTGAAGATCGTAAAAATAAAATTTCATACTGTTTTTATAAAAACATCTCTTTTGAAGTTGAAATTTATCATACAAGTAAATTGTGCCGTTAAAGTCCCACCAAAAAAGAGGACTTTAGGACTTCCCCCCCCTGAAGTTGTCAAACAAATCTGATTTCTTTTTTATGAGGGGGTGAGTAAAACCTTGGACGGAGGGGGTGGCGCCAATTCACAAAAAGAACATTGGGGAACTGGAGAAAGTACAGAGAAGGGCAACCAAACTGATAAGAGGCATGGAGGAGCTCAGCTATGAGGAAAGATTAGAGGAACTGAATGTATTCTCTCATGAGAAGAGGAGATTAAGGGGGGATATGATGAACATGTATAAATACATCAGTGCTTCATATAGTGAACTCGGTGTAGAGTTATTCACCCTGAGATCATCACAGTGGACAAGGGGGCACTCTTTACATCTGGAGGAAAAGAGATTTAATCTCCAAACACAGAAAGGTTTCTTCACAGTGAGAGCTGTGAAAATGTGGAATAGACTCCCTCAAGAGTTGGTTCTGGCCAGCTCAGTGGATTGCTTCAAAAAAGTCCTGGATTATTTCCTAGATACACAGAATATAACTGGATACTAACATTTATAGGTAAAGTTGATCCAGGGAATATCCGATTGCCTCTCAGGGGATCAGGAAGGAATTTTTTCCTCTACAGGAGCAAATTGGAGCATGCTTTGCTGGGGTTTTTTTTTTTGCCTTCCCCTGGATCAACTGTGTGTATAGGATAACTTTTTTTATGGTTGAACTACATAGACTTTTGTCTTTTTTCAGCCAGACTAACTATGTAACTCTCAGTAAACAGGACAAATAGAGAGGGTGAATCTCCATAATGGGGTCACAGAAAAAAAAGGGATAAGTGTTCTATTCCCTCTCAATCCTATCCAAAACAAATAAAAAATGCCTTTATGTTTATTTTAAACCAAACCTGTGATTTGCTCATGCAATATAACAATGGGAATGTATGCTATTCATGGAAATATTTTTAAATCAGTACAGGCACTACAGAAAAACAATAATCAAATCAATATTTTGTGTCATCACTTTGCCTCCAAAACAGCAGAAAATCTCTTTGGTTTGTTTGCATGCAGTTTCTAAACGGTATATTAGACATCTTAGAGAATGTGCCACAGTTTCAGCACAAACTATTTGATTGGAACTGGGATTAAACAGTCATTTCCCTACAGTTGTGTGTGGGTTATATATACACAGGTTATATGTACACCTGTTCAATTGCTTGGTAACACAAATTGTTAATCAGCCAATCACATGGTAGCAACTCAATGCATTTAGACGTGGTGAAGACAACTTGCTGAAGTTCAAATTGATATCAGAATGGAGAAGAAAAGGGGATTTAAGTGACTTTGAACATGGCATGGTTGTTGGTGCCAGATGGGCTGATCTGAATATTTCAAAAACTGCTGATCTGCTGGGATTTTCACGCACAACCATCTCTAGAGTTTGCAGAGAACAGTCCGAAAAAAGGAAAACATCCAGTGAGTGTAGACGAAAATGCCTTGATGTCAGAAAAGAATGGGCAGACTGGTTCGAGATAATAGAAAGGCAACAGTAAATTATATCAATATGGAGAAAAATCTCTGAGGAATGTTTCCAACACCTTGCTGAATCTATGCCACAAAGAATTAAGGCAGTTCTGAGGGCAAAAGGGGGTCCAACCCGGTACTAGTAAGGTGTACCCAATAAAGGTGAGTGTGTGTATATATATATATATATAATATATATATATATATATATAATATATATATATATATATATATATATGTTATATATCTATAAATAGAAATATTTTTTTTCTTTATTACACCTTAAATTGCAACTACAGGACAAAAGTGTATGAAATCCCATTTTTCTTTAATTAAGATATGAATATATTCCATACATCTGCCTACAGTAGATAGGAATTGCAGCATCATAATGGTTTTAGTGATCAGATTGCTCTAAAAATGTTAAAAAGTCAGAACAGAAGTGATGGGAAATCTTTCCAGTGGAGACACAGACTGAAGCAAAACATTTCTTTAGAAGATGGGGAAAGGTTAGTACCTCTGTTGGGTTATCATTACTTTCTGTGACAACCACTATCCTAGTTTGTTGCCCTGCTGTCAAAGGACTATTTATTTATTTCAAGTCTATTCAAACCTTGGAAAAAAATTGTCAGAAGCTGGGCCCTAATCTTCTTGGTAATAATACTTAATAGTCATCCTACAGGTTAATGCATTCACCATCTAATGTTTTGACACCCAAAGACCAGTTGACACCTGCTGGAAAATATACTAATGTAACTAATGTAATCAGCCAGTGTTTGCATACATACTAAAACCATCAATCTCTTACCCCATCAGGCAGGTCTTTTTGCTTTGCTCGAGGAATATCTTCAGTCTCCATGCTGTCTTTATCCTCCCCTCCATTAACACTTATCACTTCAGGTCTTGTCTGACTGACGAGAATAACCACCTCATCCTGTAGATTCTCACAGACGCTCAGCACAAGTTGCTCATACTGGGGAATTTTGCAGGCTGTGTACACATCATATATACAGATGGTGAGGATGCTGGTCATACATTAGCTTCAATACAGTGAAGAATATATGCATTTTCCCAGATCGGTGATTCAAAGGAATGACAGCCAAGCCAAGGGTAGATAAAAATTCAATGATTTAAAAAATTTAAAAATCTGATTTTTTTTATTTTTATTTGAGGTGATTGTATCCGTATTAGTGCACTTGCGACAGAAACAATTGAGTGCTGTCCGTGATACTTTTTTTATTTGCACTAACATACAATTCTGAGGACAAGCTTTCGGGGAGTGTCCCCTTCTTCAAGGTCCAAGCAGTACACCTTTTATTTTTATCGAATTTATTTTAATAAAATGCTCTTGGAGTAAAGATCCATCTAAAGATAATTTTCTATTTAGGATACATTAATAATTTAGTTTATTCAGCATGAAATGGAGCTTAGTTATGTAGAATGAAGCTGTATATTCTGCAATATTTACATTTTTTGGTAAACTTATTCAATGAATCCAAGCTATGCAAGCTGAGATAACATGCACTGCATTGATGCATTCACACAATTTCATAGTATCCATGAGAAAAAACATGTAATAAAAGAATTTGAGTAGTTTGCCAGCTATGTGCAAATAACATATTAACCTAAAATCGGTTCTGCCATCGCTGTTTTACTAACCTGACAGCTTATTATTCTAAAAAGGAAACCCTCATTTGGTTTGCAAATATTAAAGATTCTAACCACCAGCAAGAACGCATCGGATTCCTTACATTTAAAGAGCACCTGTCATTTTTAGATCCATCATGGCAGCGCCTGTTAGCAGACATCCACTCGCCTGCTGCCGCCACGTCCCTCTCCTTGTTGTGTTTCTGCCGTATCACCAGCTGTCCCATTAAAGTGAATGGGACTGTCGATGAGTCAACAGCGGGTCAGAGGAGGAGCAGCTGCAGGACAGAGATGACAATTGTTCTTTAAAAATTATGATTTAAATTGAGCCTTTTCACTAGTGATTTAAATCAAATCCACCCTGGCCAAGCCACATGTAATTTTAGGAGGCAGCTGGCAATTTCAGAATCTGTATTTCACAGTCCTTCAGGTGTATTAGACTTCCCAGTTCCCCCTAACTGACGTGGTTCCATTTGCCAGCCACTACGTCACTACTGTTTCTGCAGGGACACTTGATGAGCAGTGCAAATATTAACCATTTTCTTTGTAGGGAGAGCCATTTTTTACCTAGCAAAAGAGTCTCTAACCTAGTCACTTTGATGCTTAAAGAGATACTATAGTGGCTTTAGGTCAGTATTATTACTAATTTATTAAGTTTTTTATTTTTTTTTACTATTTATTTTTTTTTAACATATAATATATATATTTAATCAAATGCCTATTAAAATTAAGAAGAGAGCACTCCACAAGAGTATGTCCAGGATTCGCTGATTGATCCTTCATAACTTGTAATTGGTATGGGCTCCATTAGGTGTTACGATCACCAAATTTCTGGAGCAATTGAAGAGAAGAGAGAGCAATAAAGTCTAAACAGAGGAAGAGAATGCTAAAATTTTGTCTCAGAACATCTCTATCACCCTGGAAGGTCATCAATCCTCTCCAGAAGCTTACATTGAAGCTTACCTTTTATCTGCTTCATTTCTAGCACAGAGATCAGGGCACAAAAGACTCTGGCTTTGGTTTTCTCCACTTGTCGTTCATCAGCCTGCAGAACACCTTCCAGGATTTTCCCCAGAGATTTCAGGATGTTCTCGGGTGACGCAAGCTCACTGCAACAAGACAAACCATTATGCAGTGTTTGGGTGTTTATCACTGGTGAGAATTACAGCAGCAAAAATACTGATTTCTGCCAGCTGCGAGCAGATAACTATGACCACTGAGCCCTATACACTTTAATGACTGGTCTCCAGCGGCCGCAGCTCCCGGGGAGTTCATCGCACTATTAGAACACAAAGCGAGTCTTTAGACTGGGTTACACCAGAGGTTATGCCACAGTTCTGGACTTGGAGAGTGGTTTACTGCTAACTTAGTACTCAGAGGCCAGTCAAATGCCACAATGCAGAGCTCAATGCCCAAAGGTCACATTCCAGGCAAGTCTTACATCATTTAATCCAGTGAGGTCCACATACAGCTCAAGCAGTGTTTTTTTAACATACTAATTGAGGACACTGAAGAAAATACCTATGAATTATCTTATTATTATATATCTTATATTACAAAAAAAATAAAATAAAATGGGAAATTCTTGTTATTGTTTTTCTTAGCAGAGCAGAGGAAAGGCCTCCAACCTTCTAGGACACTAGCAAAAGACATGACGATTGCCGGTGTGCAAACCCCATGAAGGCAGCTGATCAACCAAATGTCTAATTACTACATTCCTGTGCACCCCCCCCAATGGACAGTATATACACACACACAGAGGTATGATCTGACATGACACACACACACACACACACACACACACACACACACACACACACACACACACACACACACACACACACACACACACACACACACACACACACACACACACAGTAAGGCTTGTAAGGCTTTTTTTAATTTTTCTGGGTCAAAAAATATAGGGAAGCCAGGCAAATAGATGATGGGTTTCTTTTATTGGCTAATTTCATCTTTTGCACCATGGCAAACCCATAATTAGGGTGTAACATGATGCAAAAGGGCCCCCTCCTCCCAGTGACAGCATGTGGGGGTTCTTCCCCCCTGCAGCCACTTTTGAAAACAGAGATCTGTGATTGAACGCACAAGTCCCATCTGTTGCGGTGGCAGAACTTGTAGTCCTCAATGGAACACGAGTGTGGTGATCAACACACTTTTAGTCCATTGAAACTTCCTCCAGCTCTCCAACTGAAAGTCCTCGATAAAGCCTGCAGGAGGCCAGACACTGCACCCACAATCCACTGATTGCAGGTGCAGTGCTTTGCAGGCTCCTGTGAAAAAAAAAAATAATAAATGTACATTTCTTCTTACAAAAATATTTGCATTTATTTTAAAAAACTTTTTAAGGTGACCTTATCCTTTAAAGTGCGCCCAAACCCAATAAAAAAAGCATTTAGTGTATTGCAGCTTACTGGTGCTTAGGTGTTGTGACTGCATTGCATTGTTTCTTTTTTTTTTTTCCCTTTATTTTCACCTAGTGATACTGCCAGTAACATACTTCCTGTGTGTAGGACTATAGAACACCTGCATAAGACAGGCACAATGTAGTTTACAGAGTGGGAACAATGCTAACTTATAAAAGTACCAAGAACACAGGAAGTTACCATCGCAGTGAATTTCTTTCTGGCAGGATCCATCAGTTTTTGAACACTTAAACATAATAAAGCATATAAAAGGTATATTTCACAGACCAAAAGAGCACAAATAAGGTCAGTCCATTAACAAAAACAAAAGGGCACAAATGCCTAGTGACACGCCATTACACTATTTTGGCTTGTGAGTATAATTTGCATCATTCACCTTTTAATAAAGTGCTGTGATAATGCACTAGGCGTTTGCGGCCTTTTGTTTTTGTTGTTTGTACAGTGCAAGATTCCCAGATCTGAATAGGGCTGCACTGCCTAAACTATCCGGCCCGAGCTGCACAGTGGTTATTATATTTGCATACCTTGAGATCAGCTTCTTTACTATTTCTTACCCCTGAGGCGTCAAAAGTTTTTTTCTGTTCACGGCTACACTTTATCAAGCTTAACTGGGCCTTAGAAAATACGTCACACGCATCTCTAAAAGCTATACCCAGTTTCAATACAAAACAGTAGCCAACTTTTAAGCTGTCCAGCAATTTCTACTACAAAAAAAAAATAAAAAAATCATATAATTGCAGGATAAAATTCTTCTTTCAGCTTGGTACGTACCCCTTCCAGCGTCTCAGCAGAATTATCATCAAAATGCACAACATAGATCCAAGATCCAAACAGGCCACAGAGTTAGGAACCTGGAACTAAACAAACATGGGGCTCAAATAACAAATTCACGTTGTATTTTAAAGCTGAATTTTAGTTTAAAATGTGTTTTTTTTTTCACAGTTTTTTTTACAGTACTTAGCTGTAATGTCCCATTTACTGCAGGCTGATGGTCTCTAAAGAAATCTTTCCAGTGATGCCCAGTCCTCATCACAGCACTAACTTCATGCACTGTGGGAGTTAATAGCTCCCGGGCTAACATCTGACGTACATTAAAGGACCTGACGTGTGCCTGCCCCTTTCAGTCCTCTCCTCCACTGACAAAAGTCCTTGCATTGTTTTCACAGACAGGAACACATTCTGTGAATGGGGGAGGAGAATCTGTCATTCATCTGCACCAATTCCTCTGCCACTGGGAGAACCCTCAAATCTTCCCAGACATGAAGGTTCAGCAACGTCCAAGTGCTGTCCAATGGAGTCTAGGTCAGGCAGCTGACGGACCATGAATCTCCTGGCGAGGAAAGAACCATATGTTCTGAAATTAGACTTAAGCACCAGGTATAGGGAACGTCCTGGCAAGAAAGTCCCCTGAAGGCAGGGGAAGAGACCATCCCAAAGAGACTGATGGGTCACACCAGAAAAATCTTGGTTCACAAAGACCATCTGGATGTCTTGCCCCAAGTCTAGGCTCCCAAAAATAGAAGGGAGGCTGAAAAAGAAAACAAGGCAATGACATCACTGAGTGGCCCCGTACCCTTGTGCCGTCATCATCCGTGACATGCTGGGTCAATGATGTCACAAGGGGGTGGGAGGGGTCACCCGGTGACATCACTGGGTGGCCCTGACCCTTAGTTATTTAAGTGTTGTCAGGCGGTGGAGCTGTAAGATGGAGGGAGCCTTTGTCAAGAGCAGAGCCTTTTTTTTTGCTCGGTGGGCATAGTGATTGATGATGGATCTACACCGGGGAACATTTAAAAATTTTTTTTTTTTTTAATAAAAGGACTTGTCAAAACTGCCTCCTGTGTATTTTTTTTACACTACACTTTTTTTGGGTGAATGAGTAGGGGTACCATGTACATGTTTTTTAGGGTGGAACATGCAACATGTTCGCATAGCCGCAGCTGCGCCCGCCATCCCCCCTCCCTCTGACAGTACGGGGAGAAGTTTACCCGTACTATATCTGTCTGATTTGAAACCAGCGCAGCTGTTCGGGCTCTGCCCACATGGCCCCATTATTCATTCACAAACTTCCGTGAATGAATGAACTGTAAGTCCCGGCAGCCTTATCAGCTGTCGGCTTGTAGTTTTCAATGAACTGTGGGGCACCCTGGGTTCATTGAAGCTTCCTGTCAGAATATCTGCTTGTTCGTACATCCCGTAGGGCAAGCAGATATTCTGACAGATCAGCAGGAGACCTGCATGGTATCAGTGATCTACTGATCACTGGTGCAATACTCTCTAGGCTCCTTTGGACAAAAATAATAAATGCACATTTGTTACCTGCAAAAAAAATGCACTTATTATTTTTGTCCAAAAGGTGAACTTATATTTAAGGAAGTACTCTGAAGGAGCAGGACATAAGGGGGACTAACTTTGGGGGCACTACAGAAGAGAAGGAAGGGGGCACTAACTTAGGTGGCATGCTGGAGGTACAGCACATAAGGGGGCACTCTGGAGGAGGATGCAAAGTGGCACTCTGGAGATACTTAGTGCTCCCTTAGTGCCTCTAGAGTGCCCCTTTTCATCCTCCTCCAGAGTGCCCTCTTAGTTACAGTACAGTAAGGGGGCACTCTAGAGGATGTAAGAGGGCACTCTAGAGGCACTAAGGGGGACACACTGGAGAAGGATAAGGGGTCAGTCTGAAGGATGTATGGGGGCACTGCGGAGGTAATAACTTAGTACCTCCAGAGTGCCCCCTTACATCCTCCAAAGTGCCCCTTAGTAATATGAGCACAAGGACTGTGGTATATGTGTGCAGTGTATACTGCAGGTACAGATTCTGTTTAATCCCCCTTTAAGACCTGTCCACTGGCCATGCCCACTGTCCCAGGGTGCTCCAGGTCTTCCATTATCTTAGTCATGCTCACATTTTGCCATGCTGTTTTGACTGAAGGGGACCCTTCATGGTTTCTTGCACCGGAGTCCTGTCCTAAGTCTTTCCAGCTCCCTTCTCCACCCCCACTGCTCCTAACCCACACCAGCCTCGATCCATCATTGTCCTCAATTCCTAAAGCCTCCTACTGTTATCCACTGCTGCAAATTAATAACTGGTTGACCTTACATTCCTTGAATATGTCCACACCCACCAATACATAGCCCAGCCTTCATGCCGTATTTCTCTACCGCCCCAATTTAACACAGAACTCACAGAACTGACAGAGGTCCCTTCCAGCCATCCAGCAATCACCTAATGACTCTCGCATCCCCCTAATCTCCCCCCAGCAATCACAGCCTTTTCCATCTCAGCCCTCCCACCCCAAAACCCCTCTCTCACCACAGCCACACCCAACTCCCTAACTCCAACCCTGCACCTCCCAAACCACTCCTCTACCCACTCTTCCTAGGTGATAAGTATCAGTAATTGGTATCGGTGAGTACTTAATAAAAAGTATCAGTACTCATATTCGGTCTTAAAAAAGTGGTATCAGTGCATCTCTAAAAATAAGCATTGGACATATCACCATTTTTCTCAATATATATATTTCTAAAGGTGCCATTGGCATGACATTTTCACCACATGTTGGTAATAACCCATGCAATCCATACATATAAGGAAATCAAAACAAATAAGTTACGAAATTAAGTTATGTGTAATAAAATGGAATGACACAGGGAAAAGTATTGAAAATGCTAACTGAAATTTATTTAATACTTCGTACAAAATCCTTTGATGACAGCTTCAAGATCCCTCCTGTATGGAGAAACTAGTCGCATACATTGCAGGGGTTCGATTTTGGCCCATTCTTCCATAAAAACAGTCTTGAAATCTGTGGGCCTCTTCTATGGACTCTGATCTTTAGTTCTTTCCATAGATTTTTTTATTGGATTTAAGTCAGGTGATTGGCTGGGCCATTCTAGCAGCTTTATATTCTTTCTTTGAAACCAATTGAGAGTTTCCTTGGCTTCGTGTTTGGGATTATTGCACATTGCGCAAAAGTCGCCAACTGTCTGCAGAGTCAATAGCTAAAGACCTCCAAACTGTGTGGCCTTCAGATTTGCACAACAACAGTGCATAGAGAGCTTCATGGAATGGGTTTCCATGGCCTAGCAGCTAAATCCAACCCTTACATCACCAAGTGCAATGCAAAGCGTTGGATGCAGTGGTGTAAAGCACGCTGCCACTGGACTCTAGAGCAGTGGAGATGTGTTCTCTGGAGTGACGAATCACGCTCGTCTGTCTGGCAATCCAATGGACGTGTCTGGGTTTGGTGGTTGCTAGGAGAACGGTACTTGCCTGACTGCATTGTGCCAAGTGTAAAGTTTGGTGGAGGGGGATTATGGTGTGGGGTTGTTTTTCAGGGGTTGGGCTTGGCCCCTTAGTTGCAGTGAAGGGAAGGCATCAGCATACCAAGACATTTTGGACAATTTCTTGCTCCCAACTTTGTGGGAACAGTTTGGGGATGGCCCCTTCCTGTTCCAACATGACTTGCGCACCAGTGCACAAAGCAAGTCCATAAAGACATGGATGAGCGAGTTTGGGGTTGAGAAACTTGACTGGCCTGCACAGAATCCTGACCTCAACCCGATAGAACACCTTTCGGGATGCTGATTGCAGGAGGAGGGTGGAGCCTAAACATGGCGGCGTCGGAGAGCACGATGTGAGTGCTCTCCGATAACCTCAAATCCGACCATCCCATAGACCCTCATGGAGTGAAGCCCTACCTGAGTGTGGAGGGTCCTGGTGGAGGGAGAGGCGGCGTGGAGAGGGGGAGAGCGGAGCTTACACGGACCTCCGGGAGGTGAACTTGCGGTGGAGATCCCAGTGCAGCTGTCGGGTTGCCGGGGAAACGAAGCAGGGCGGTGTGAGCACGCTGCTCGCCGCAAAGGACGACTGGGAAGTAGAAACGCCGGCCGGTTCCCTCGTTGAGCGGCAGTGACAAATCGGCTCCCCTGGCACCACATGAATGGAAACCCGTGCGGAGAGAGGAGGAGAGAGGCTGCAGGAGTAAGGCCCAGCTACGGAGGACCCTTGAGAGAAAGTGGATGCTGGCTGGCGCCCTGATGTGACAGGGTGCTGCTGGCGTATAGCTTCCTATACCCCCTGGCTGGCTGTTTGATCCTGGGTCAGGGAGACCCATAAATATTAGAAGACCCATTCTCCTTCCCTGAGGCGACTTCTAAGGATCAAGAAAGGAAAGAGAAAGGAGGAGGAAAGAAAGAAACATAGTATCGGAAACCCTGAGGAATCCCCCCCCCAGGACTGAGCAGCAGTGAAGACCCCCCACACAAGTATGGAGTCACCATCCTGAGAAGGAAAGGGTGAGTGAAAAATGTTGGGAGCTTATTGTGTGGTGAACCCCTGAGTGACATAGGCTACTAAGGGGTGAAGAAGGGGAGGATTCCCAGGGGTTAGAAGATAAGAAGAGAGGAGGCCCAGGTGTCTTAGGAGAGTAAAGGATATAGGAAAAATTGCAAGTCTACCAAGATATTTAGAAGATATGAAGAATAAAGGTCCCAAGGGAGCAGGGCCCAAAGGGTCCCAAAAGGAACAATAAAGAAATATACATCATATGGAAATACTACGCCAGAAAGGGTCCAAGGTGCAAAGGGGGAAATGGACACTAGTTCAGGAAGTAGTCCTAGATTATCATTGGGCTTGAATAGCAACAGTAGCCAACAAATAGTGGATGACCTGGGAAGGAAAGGATCTGAAGGGGAACTACAGATACCAAATAAGAAGGAGATGGCTGAAATGTTTCAAAATTTGGAAAAAAACGATAAAACATGAAATGACAGCTATTCGAAACGATTTAGGACATCTGCTATCAAGAGTGGAAGAAACGGAGGAGAAAGTTAAAACCCAGGCCCAGAACATAGA